CTAAGGTATCAACCAGACCTATCAGTGCTTAAGTATCAACAATTTTTTTGTCAAAAATAAAAATGTAACGGACTCCTTATTAGAGTTATTGTCCTAAAATAACATTTTTTTGAAATCTATAATAGTTTGAGATAGCTGTAACCAGAAAACCTGCCAACGAGACAAGATTTACAAGAAACTCAATTGGCGAACAACATCTATGGAATTCTTTACAGAGGTTTGAAATTATTTGAATTTACAAGTTTTAAACAATGTTCTCTAGGCGGAACTGTACAAAGCAAACATGACCAGCAAGATAAGATTAACTGAAAAGGTTAACTCGTAATCGAAATTGCCGATCAACCCCTATTGAAATTACATTTTACCCATTTTCGTCTTTAGCTGTTAATTTGAAAACTAAAATGGATAGAGAGAAACTAAAACAACAAACTGATCATCCTCATGCGAGGATCTAAAATAGGTCAGAATTACCTAAATTATCAAGCGATAAAGGGTTTATTGTCCTAAATTGACTACCATTTCTTAACAAGAATGTTTACGAGTGGATTTGTTTCAAAGCTGGTCACAATCAATACTTTTTTCTCATTGTCGAAGGCCGGATCAAAAATAAGCACCTGAGCACCTTGTAATCCTGTTTCCCTACCCCACCCCCATAGTGTACAAAGTACAAACAACTATCCGTTGCAAAACGGTCAAAATATCATTGTTCCATTTTGTAGACTTTCCTTTGTTACTGAATCTTTTACGAGAATGGAATAAGCTTGATTTAAAAATTAGCAACATCGACTCTTTATCTAAATTTAAGAAAGAATTGCAAAGTATAGTGCCAAGTGTACAGTTGTAACGTATTATCTGTACGGTCCGAGGAAAATTAATATTATTTTAATTCAATTGCGATTTTTAATAAAATTGAGAATGGAAATGGGGAATATGTCAAAGAGACAATAACCCGACCAAAGAGAAGATAACAGCCGAAGGCCACCAATAGGTCTTCAACGCAGCGAGAAAATCCCGCACCCGCAGGTGGGCTTCACCTGGCCCCTAAATAAAAATGTGTACTAGTTCAGTGAAAATGGACGTCATACTAAACTCCAAAACATATAAATGAACTAAAATTAAAAAAAAAAAAAAAAAGGCCAGAGGCTCCTGACTAAGCAAAATGACAATGATACATAAATTAACAACAGACTACTAGCAGTAAGATATGCCAGCTCCAGACCTTAATTAAACTGATTGAAAGATTATGTCTTCATCATATGATAATCAAGCACAATCCCTCCAGTAAGGGGTTTAGTATCATACCATCATAAAATATATGAAAAGAACATAACCCGTATCATGCCAACAACTGGTTTTAGAATAAATGTGTTTATTTCCGATGCAACGACCCTATGAGCGAATCAATATTAATACCAAAATATGCAATCCTTAATGACCTGACAACAGTATCGTAACTATATCCCTTCTGAATAAGTCTGTTTAGAGGTTTGGTTAGCTTTTGAGGTGAATACCGACATTTTTGTGCTTTGTAAAGAATATTACCATAAAAGATTGGATGTGAAATACCTGAACGTATAAGATGTCTGCATGTTGATTTATATTTACGGATGATGTCAACTTCATTTCTAAACTATGACCTTTTCAAAGCTAACATTATACTGGATCCTTCCCGTCAGTGTGGGTCTGATATTGAGCATGTTCATCATTTCTTTTTTGTTTGCCCAAAATATTTTACTCAACAATCTTAATTAGCTTACCGAAAACTTTGTTTTAGATACTAAACTGCTAACTTGCGGAGACTTTGAAATTTCGAATTAACAAGGTCAAACAGTTTTCTAGTACCTTCATAAAGTGTTATGATACTGGCACGGACGATCATTATCATCAAAACTTAAGTCAGCATCACAAAAAAATGTGATTTGCTTTTTTTTCTTTTCTTCTTTTCATTTATAGTTCGTTTAATATCTAATGAATTTTTTTCTCTTCACATGCATGCTCTCCTTATTTTTATCATAATATTATTATTGTATATATACTTATATTGTAATATGGAGAAGAATTTATAAGTATGATTTACGTGTGTCTCATTTTGCCTAGATTTTGCAAATAAGATATGTTTAAACTCGAGAAAAAATCAAAAGAAATAAAAAAAAAGTGCAAGAAAGAGCGCTCTGTTTTGTATATGAGGACTCCTATGAGAATTTGCTAGAAAAAGCGAAGATGCCTTCTCCGAAAGTTAGAAGAACGGAAATTAAAAATTTTTAAATTATAAATAACTAAACACCTGCATATTTACAAGACTTATTAAAGGTTAAAAAAAATCGAAATATTCTTTCAGATATAACAATATATATATTTTGTATTGTTATGAGTTACAATTTATGACTAAAATCAGCAAAGACCCATCGAAACAACATCTGATACAAAAATTTAACAATACTTTTAGATATTTGGATGATATATTGGCTCTCAATAATGACGACTTCAGTATGTATACTAAAGAAATTTATCCTGTTGAACTTACTTTAAATAAAGCTAATACTAACAATGACCACTGTCCTTTCCTCGATATTGATATCTATATCATTAACGGGAAGCTTAATACAAAAAATTATGATAAAAGAGATGATTTTTCATTTCCTATCGTTAATTATCCATTTTTAGATGGTGACGTTCCCTTGTCACCATCTTATGGTGTTTATATATCTCAACTTGTACGATTCGCTCCTGTATATAACAACGTATTAGATTTTAGCGAGAGAAAATTATGTATTACTGAAAAATTATTACACCAGGGTTTTCGATATCATAAACTAGTCAAAACATTTACTAAATTTTATCATCGGTATAACTTATACCGATGATAAAATTCAACATGCAGACATCTTATACGTTCGGGTATTACACATCCAATCGTTTATGGTAATATTCTTTACAAAGCACAAAAATGTCAGTATTCACCTCAAAAGCTAACAAAACCTTTAAACAGACTTATTATAAATTAAGAAGGGATATAGTTACGATACTGTTGTCAGGTCATTAAAGATTGCATATTTTGGCTTTAATATTGATTCACTTATAGGGTCTTTGCATCGGAATTAAACACATTTATTCTAAAACCAGTTGTTGGCATGACACGGGTTATGTTCTTCTCATTCTCATATATTTTATGACGGTATAATACTAAACCCCTAACAGGAGGGATTGTGCCTGATATTCATATGATGAAGACATAATCTTTCAATTAGTTTAATTGAGGTCTGGAGCTGGCATGTCAATAACTGCTAGTAGTCTGTTGTTATTTATGTATTATTGTCATTTTGTTTATTTTCTTTTGTTTCCTATTCTGACATCGGACTCGGACTTCTCTTATACTGAGTTTTACTGTGCGTACTGTTGTGCGCTTGTTTTTTCTACATTGGCTAGAGGTATAGGGGGAGGGTTGAGATCTCAAAAAACATGTTTAACCTCGCCACATTTTTGCGCCTGTCCCAAGTCAGGAGCCTCTGGCCTTTGTTAGTCTTGTATCATTTTTAATTTTAGTTTCCTGTGTAAAATTTGGAGTTTAATATGACGTCCATTATCACTGAACTAGTATACATATTTGTTTAGGGGCCAGCTGAAGGACTCCTCCGGGTGCGGGAGTTTCACGCTGCATTGAAGACCCATTGGTGGCCTTCGGCTGATGTCTGCTCTATGGTCGGGTTGTTGTCTCTTTGACACATTCCCCATTTCCATTCTCAATTTTATAATATATATAATACAAACAAGTCTAAATTGAAAACAACGTTCAAACCTATGATTGCGTTGGATAAAAACCGCAATTTTTATACGTGTGCATGTAAAACATATTTCTTGTTAGAGGGGTCTAAATACAGCACAAACAACATTTTCCAAAAGACCAAAAAAAGTGAAAAAGTATATTTAAACAAAACGCATTTGACTAGCAGGTCGAACAACGGATGTTCTTAAACCCTGCTGACTGCCATTAGCGATTGCCAAATAAACGGATCACCGATGTAATAAATGGATCTTAATTATAAATTTAATACCAAACAGAAAACAATAAACTTGCGGAAAAGATGGTATATGGCAAACAAAATAGGATGAACAGATCATATAAACCCGAAAGCAAACATAATGCAAGCCCAAACGAAAAAATATAAACAAGTCTAAATTGAAAACAACGTTAAAACCTATGATTGCGTTTGATAAAAACCGCAATTTTTTATACGTGTGCATGCAAAACAAATTTCTTGTTAGAGGGGTATATATGTGTAAAAACTACTACTTACGTTAAAAAAAAGTTTCAAATTTGCATCATTGTGGAACAGTCTACCAGAACATATCAGGACGAAGAACATTTATTCTCAGTTTAAGAGTCTTATAAAGTCTTGGAATGACTCGGAATGTCGCTGTTCTGCATGTATATAAGCTATCATTCCGTTTTCGTTGCTCTTTTATAGTTGTTCCAGCATGTATGATTTGCTTTGTCATGTTTGTGCTGTGACTTCTAAGTTTTTAATTTGTTTGCATGGTAGTTCTTTTATGATGTTGTATATGTTTGAATGTATTCAGTTAAAAGCTCTTTAGAGCTTACGTTTGTAGTTGATAACTATACCAAATTTAAATAAAGCTTTCGTATTCGTATGCATGTCAGGATGAGAAGCAGACTTGTCATGAAATAGAAGTTCCTTCATAATATAAGTTCTTAATGGAAGAAATATTCTGTAATATTATTACTTCTGGAACAAAATATTGCAGTATTTGTTCCTGGTGGAATAAAGATTATAGAACATGTGTTCCAATGGGAATAGTTATTATGGCATTTTTTATAACGAAGTTTCAACCTGAACTTCAGTTAGGTGGAAAAAATATACGTTTACAAATTCAGGTCATTACTGAAATCTTTAAACAAGTTCAATATGATTGAACCAACCAAATTGCCATTTTGCCCATGATTGTTAATGTGACCCCGTGATGAGATCTACTCATTTACAAATTGATTTCAAGTGTTATTATTCTGTTTGGATGTAAACAAATCAGTTGATATAAAGAGAAAGGACGTGAAGTAGAGGAATAAGTATAAGACTAGAACAGAAGGCAACACTCTACTGACTAAAGGAAGTGATAAGGTATGAATGAATTTAAATGATATAATGCAGTTTGTCATAATTTGTATTACATTACATGTCAGTTTCATATTAGAACACAAAACTCCTATATCACATTCTGTATAATCTAACGTGCGCTTCATATCATGTAGTGTGTGTATTTTAACCGTCATTTCAAACTTTGTTACAATTATCCTTATTATGATGAGTTTAAAAAGATGTATTTTATTCCCAAGTGGCTGTCAAACTAAAATACACCTCGTTTAGAAAGACTATTGAAATTTCGATATTTGAAATAGATCAAAATTACTTATCTGGCTAATAGGGGCATTACGGTGACCGGACGATCTAAATAGTTTATCTACAGTGGTCACTAGCCTGACATCACTGAGGTTATAATTTCAAACGCCACAAGAGGCAAGGTGTACTCGATTCCGATCTTAATTTACTAACTGTTGATTGTCTAGGGTTCTCTTCGGGGATATATCCAAGTGTGCTGAAATAGCGTTAAATATCAACAATCACTCAATCATGTCTTGCTAATGTTCTAACAGATATTTTCGCCGTGCAATCTGATATGTCAAACACTGACAATAGATTTATCGATGGTGTTTTAAAACACAGTGTATAATATTATTGTGAAACTTTTCGAACAAATTCTCAATGGGATAAATATACGCAATTTATGATAGTACTGTGGAACGTCACTTAGATCAACTTATCAGTGGTATTTATAAACGCAGCGTACAACAGTAGTGTGGAACAACGTTATAAAAAAATTCTGAATGGCCTTTATAAATGCAATGTTTAACAGTAGTGTGGAACGTTTTTCAAAAAATTCTCAAAATTATCTATAAACACAGTATGTAACAGTAGTGAGGAAATTTTTGAACAAATTCTAAATGGTATTTATAAACGCTGTGTATAACAGAAGTGTGAATCTTTTCTAGGAAGTTCTCAATCGTATTTATAAACACAGTGTGTAACAGTAGTGTGAAATTTTTCTTACAAGTTTTCAATTGTATTTATAAATGCAGTGTATAAAAGTAGCGTGAAATTTTTCTAGCAAATTCTCAATTGTATATACAAGCGCAGTGTACAACATGAGAGTGGGGGTAGTATGTAACATTTCTGTAATTGCCTTTTGGTCTTTTTCTTTTCTTTTTTTTTTTTTGCCATGGTGTTGTCAGTTTATTTTCGACTTGTTCATTTGGTATCATGTGTCTCTCTTTTACGTGAATTGAGTACATATGCTAGTATTTTTTTCGTCTTTTGGTTGGTTTTTTTTTGCCATGGTGTAATATGCTTTCTTTACTAATAAATGATAAGTTTTTATTGCTCCCTTGGTATCTTCTCGTCCGTTTTATTGTGTTTATAAATCGTTGCAATTGCCCCTTTTGGAATTATATCAGATATTTCAAATCCCCATCGAAAATGACAACAGTTGTAATAGGTAGATACTTTATTCCCTTAAACCTATTAACAAGGGTACATTTACATTGATAGAACATACTTTTTTTTCTGTTATATTCCTGTCAGCTTTTTATATATTTACTGTGTGTGACACGTTTTAATTTCAGCTGTCTAAGGTGTTAAGATGAGAAGCAGTGAGGAAGAGAGGATATTTCAGTTGTTATATCTCCTTTACGATGTGTGTAGAGATACTCTCCTTGTTTTCTTCGCTGATAAATTTTTAAACAACGAACTTACAGATGAAAACATTTCACATTATATCAGTAAAAACAAAAACAAACTCCATCAACAATTACAAAAATCAAAATGTCAAACATGTTCGGAGTCAAAAGCTGAAACATCTTGTCTGAAATTTCAACGAGAACTACTTAAAAGTTTCTTTAAAGTTGACAAGTCTCTGACAAAAGACGCAAATTTGACAGATGTGACTTCAGATTTACTATCCGTTGAAAAAATTACACCAGATAAACTGACTGTTTCTATGCTTCACAACCTACTACTTACTGCAGAAATAGACTCTGAGGAACGTGAATGGATAGGTCAACTATATGAGCAACGAAAACAATTTTCATCTATGGCAATAACCGATGAAAAATTTCAAGAAATTTGGAGAAAAAGTGAAGAAATAGTCCTTAATATATCAAGAAAGTACAGTAAAGGGCAAGATAAGATCATGGAGAAATACATAAAAGTTATAAAAACTATGCTGCCTCAATGGGATATGGTGGAGGACGCCTGGCAATCGATGGAGAAGGAGTTTCATCTGCAAGTAAGATAAGATCGATTAGCATATTTTCTTTTCGTTTGATTACTATATCAACGGAGCAGGTCAACTTGACTTATTCATGACAAAATTCTATAAATTCATTTGTCCCTGATTTACCTCGAACAAAACGTACGAGGTTGCAACGTAAATTTAGTGGGTATAAAGGATCTCTCATTATACATTTCCGCCATCAAATTAGTGTTTGTCTCGCCTCGACAAATGTCGCGGAAGTGAGACCAAGTAGTGCTATTTCTGGCGGCGTCGGCGGCGTCAACAAATTTGTTAAAGATTGTGATTATATCAGTTGAAGTGGTACCACTTATTGTAAACATATTTAGTATGCAGTCGTTTAAGTATTTGTACATCTCAATTGCATGCCTATTATGTTGCCACGTCCCATCAGTCATGGCCTTTTGATTTTGAAACTTCTGCATAGTACTGTACATATTAGTTAAGTTTAAGATTAACTCCTAATGATAGGTCGTATGTAGTTGTATTATCATTCGTGTATCTCATTTCCATGGAGATCACATTACCCTGCTGTATCATCCATGATGTTCAGTTGACTTTTGAACTTTTGCATTGTTTACATTTAGGTGAGTTTAAATAAAACCATTTGCGATAAGTAAATAATATTTGATATGCATTTGTGTAAGCAATGGCATATCTCACGGAGATAGGTTTACCTTCATCTTCAATCATAGTTCATTGACTTTGAATGTTTTACATATTAAACATGTGAAAACTTTTGCAAATTTTGATTTTAAAATTTGCATTTTACTATCAAAAGAGAGGCGAAAGATACCAGAGGGACATTCATAACTCATAAGAATCTGTTGTTTAGTGGTAGTCGTTTGTTGATGTGGTTCATAAGTGTTTCTCGTTTCTCGTTTTTTATATAGATTAGACCGTTGGTTTTCCTGTTTGAACGGTTTTACACTAGTCATTTTTAATTTTTGGGGCCCTTTATAGCTTGCTGTTCGGTGTGAGCCAAGGCTCCGTGTTGAAAGCCGTACTTTGACCTATAATGGTTTACTTCTTACTAATAGTGACTTGAATGGAGAGTAGTCTCATTGGCACTCATACCACATCTTTTTATATCTATCATAAGTCAAAAATAAACTGACAACGCAATGGCTGAAAAAGAAAGGGACCAACAGACAAGTAACAGTACACAAAACACAACACAGAAAACTAATGACTGAGCAACACGAACCCCACCAAAAACTGGGAATGATCGTAGGTGCTCCGGAAGGGTAAGAAGATCCTGCTCCACAAGTGGCACCCGTCGTGTTGCTCGTGTTAGTAAAAACCCGGTAATAAGTCTTAATTCTGTATGTCACTTTCAGGGGAAAGGTTCTGGATTGTAGTTACGACAATTGGAACTCTTGGTTTGATAGCTTCCTTGTGAGCAGCAACCCTCTATAAAGGAAATCATGATAGGAAATACAAGCCCTAGAATATCGTATCAATTGTGTGATATATACTCCGTATACAGGCGCTGCTGGAATGTTGCTACATAGAAATGAAAAGTTTACAATTGGGAAGCTGAAATCATCTTTTTTATCGTAAAATTTTGTTTTCAACCGACCCTCATTGTCAATATCTAGATGTAAGTCAAGATATGAGGCAGACTTAACTGTATCCTTTATCTCAAGTTCGATGGGATAGATGCGTTCAACATAGTCACCAAATTTTAAAAATTACATACCGTATGAGGCAAGACATGTCTCTGTGTCAACAGTTAATTGGAGAGATCGTTTGAATCCTCTTACTGGAATAACTATTCCAAAGTCGCCTTTACAACAGCACTCCATATTACTCGGTATGTCCACAGGGACAAACGCCTTCTTTAACTTGTCGTCTCGACAATAGATGTGATAACATTTTTAAAGAAACTCATCTTGTGTATATTTCATGGTAATTGTATGCCTCTATCCTTGGTGCTACACATTTTAGGTTAATACTTCAGGCATAACAGTACTGTATTTGACGAATTGCCACCGTCAACTGGTGATTTAACGGTCGCAAATGCAAATTCATTATCGACTCTCTCTCACTCTCTCTCTCTCTCTCATGTGTTATCATGTTTTTTATACTTATTTTTTATTATCTCGAGTTTAATTTTTATTTGAAATATACTATTTTTTTTCCAGGATGGAACGTTGTATGCGGACATTGCTCTTAAACTGAAATGCAGAGAAACTCTGTACTGGTCAACAACGTCACATGAGAAGTTCAGCTTTGAAATAAACAATAATGATGACAGTGAAGCCCAAGACATTTCAGACAGAGTTTTGTCACAGCTTCTACCAGTTATAGAAAAACATCAACAGGAAAATGATATCAAAAATAAAAACTGGACACGTTCGTACACTATTTTTTCGTTTTTTTTTTGTTTTTTTTTAACTGGCGTTGTTTATTTGTCTTGAAAATATTTACAGCCCGCACTTGACTCAGGAATCTGCACTTTGTTTAAATTTTTATATCTTTTACTGCTTTATCCTTTTCTAAGCGAGTATCATACACAGTGTTAGCCACAGTTCGGTCAAAGCGAAGTCCGGTGTAAGGATGTACTTCGCTATTTCACATAATAAAGTTTGGAAATTTGTTATGAAATAAAATGACTTTGTTTGATTATAATTACATTTATTTTTCCAAGTTGTCCCCTTTTCGAACCTACAAATTAAATCAATAGTTAGCTGTTTTGTTCTATGAATTCTGTAACATAGAATACAAATAATGACCATGAAAGTTGAGAAGAAATTTGGCTTTATGTTTTCCGACGAAATATTATCAGTGGCGGCTTCAGTGATTCAGTGGGAGAGGGGGGTCGGGGGTTGGAACCCCCTTTTTAGACGATCAATGTTTTTGAATGGGGACCTATGGTTGGAAACCCCCTTTATCCTGGTTGGAACCCCCTTTTCAAAATGGCTGGATCCGCCCCTGATTTATATGTCATATTAATTAGATTTAAGAAGATGTGGTATGAGTGCCAATGAGACAACTCTCCATCCAATAATTACATATAAGAAGATGTGGTATGAGTGCCAATGAGACAACGCTCCATCCAATAATTACATATAAGAAGATGTGGTATGAATGCCAATGAGACGACTCTCCATCCAATAATTAGATATAAGAAGATGTGGTATGAGTACAAATGAGACAACTCTCCATCCAATAATTAGATATAAGAAGATGTGGTATGAGTACAAATGAGACAACTCTCCATCCAAAAATTAGTTATAAGAAGATGTGGTATGAGTGCCAATGAGACAACTCTTTATCCAAAAATTAGTTATAAGAAGATGTGGTATGAGTGCCAATGAGACAACTCTCCATCCAATAATTAGATATAAGAAGATGTGGTATGAATGCCAATGAGACGACTCTCCATCCAATAATTAAATATAAGAAGATGTGGTATGAGTACAAATGAGACAACTCTCCATCCAATAATTAGATATAAGAAGATGTGGTATGAGTGCCAATGAGACAACGCTCCATCCAATAATTACATATAAGAAGATGTGGTATGAGTGCCAATGAGACAACTCTCCATCCAAGTCACAATTTGTAAAAGTAAATCAATATAGGTCAAAGTACGGCCTTCAACACGGAGCCTTGGCTCATACCGAACAGCAAGCTATAAAGGGCCCCCAAAATGACTAGTGTAAAACCACCCAAACAAGAAAACCAACGGTCTAGTCTACACTTATGAACCACATCGACAACCACTGAACATCAGGTTCCTGACAGGTGCCAACAAATGCAGCAGGTTTCATGCTTAATGTTCATCTGATGAATGGGTAAATATTGATTTTTATTCAAATACATGTATTTCATAAGTTGTTTAAGCTAAGTATGCATATGCATATGCATGTACATACATGTATACATTTGGTGGTTTGAGAAAGATTTTTCAAATCTATTGTAAAATAGATTATGAACGGGATCGACTGTTAACATAGGTGTTCGTGTTCTTTTTTTTACTATGTCGGAAACTAGGAATTTTGAAACAGTAACGCAGTTCCTTTATAAGTTGTGCTAGACTGTTTTTTTTTTAGACTGAAGTATCATGATTTTCATTATTATTTTCAGAATGTATACTACAGAGGTTAGATGACATGTCTGTTGGTTTGTCGAAGACGGGGGAATATAAAGGTAAACTGTGTAAAATTGTTTTGTCTTTTAATCGGTCTGTTGCTTCTTGGTAGCTCAATATGGGAGGTTCTAATTTCTATCACATCCGGTAAAATTAGGTGTTGGTGTTTATTATGGTAGCCGGATGTGGCCAATTTTGCGTGTTCGCGTTGTAGATTTAAAGGGAAAAGGCGAAAACGCGAATTGCGAAATCGAGATAGCGAAATCTCGAAGAGCAATAACACGAATGCAAAGACTTGTCTGCATGGAGTCAGAGTAATGTATTCAGATGGGGTGACATGTCGATATTGTGATCTAGCAAGTAGGTCTAGAACAAGGATTATCTGCCAGAAGCCATTGACATGTTCTTGTCCTATATTTAACTTCACATCTTTAAATAATTCTTAAATTGTTTTCCAGAATTTGACATAGAGAAAGTAAAGCTGCCATCTATCTCCAAAAACGAGTTGAAGAGCCCACTTTTTGTGATAACAGAAGAAAATGAAGGTTTAGATAGTGGTAATAATGCAGACAAAACAAGTATTCAGTCCTTGATAAATAAAAATCATAGTCGCCTGTATCAAAATTAACAAAAATCAACAATGTTTAGCCTTGCACTTTATATTTACTTTGTCCTTACTAAGTGCTAGTCGATAAATTCCCGAAGGCCTGGAACAGGAATCATTGATTTAATGATTTACCTGTAGTAACGCTGACTGTGTACACATGTAAGAGATAAATTTGTCCTGGTAAAATATGTCCGGGCGGACACATATTACTAGTATAAAAAGTCCATGGTTACAGAATTTACTAGTATTTTTAGTCCGATGCTAGTAATTTATGTACCCAGACTAATTTTCCTAGGAATTCAAGTCCATGTCATTAATATTCCTAGGTAAAAACGTCCATGTCCTTTTTTTATAGGAAAAATATTAATGAATCAAATCATTTACATTTAAACAATATTGGAAATATAAATGTTAAGTTTTAATATTGTTTTAGAGTTGTGTATTTATATTTTTAATACAATTCATGTCCCCAGACTAATTTTCCTAGGAAATCATGTCCATGTCATTGATATTCCTAGGTAAAAACGTCCATGCCCTTTATTTTAAAAGGTCCTTAATAAAATCCATGTCCCCAGACTCATTTTCCTAGAAAATCATGTCCATGTTATTAATATTCCTAGGTAAAAATGTCCCTTTATTTTGAAAGTTAAATGTAAATGTTATGTTTTAATATTGTTTTAGAGTTGTGTATTAATATTTTAATAAAATTTATGTCCCCAGACTAATTTTCCTAAGACATCATTTCCATGCCATTAACATGTCTAGGTTATAACGTTCAGCCATGTCCTTTATTTTAATAGGAAAAAATTAATGAAACTTTCCAATCTTAACTAAGAAAATATGTTGTTTTTTTTTTATTTTCAATAATTTTTATAATATAATAAAAATTACTAGAAAAACAAACCTTAGGACAATTTTTCCTAGGAAAATAAGTACCAGACAGATTTTACTAGCTATGGACTTATTTTCCTAGGAAAATTTGTCCTGGGACTTAAATTCCTAGTAAAATAATGATCATGGACTTGATTAACGAGGAAAAAAGTCTGGCGGACAAATTTTACTACCGGACCAAATTTACTGTTATGTACAATTTTAACAACTAAAGATTCAAGTGTTGGATGTAAATTTCAGGATAAAAATAATATATGTACATTGTCGGGAAATATAAAATGTATTTGCACTCGCTACGAAACAGGAGAAAAGCTCGGCGAGCCTCGCTTTTCGTCCTGTTTCTTAAGCTCATACAAATAAATTTTATATTTTCCGACAATGTACATACATTGTATATGTCAAATACCTAGTATCAGTTAAGTACTGATACACATAAGAAATTCTTTTAAAAAGCAATAATAACTTTTCCAAAATTTTTCAAGATAATTATAGATATTAAATTAACAAGACAAATTATTTCATAATTTTCCAGGTGGATAGGAGTTTGTTATGTTTTATTCTGAAAATTTATTAAGGCTTCAATTAACAGATTGTTCATAATTTTAAAAAATAACTATCAATTATTTTCAATAAAATGATTTATGACTTCTTCAAAAATGTCTTATAAACTAGCTAAAGAGAGCTGAATACGGAAATATAAGAAGCAATACTGTTTGTGACACTGATTTCCCCCTCTAACTGGCATCTGTTGACTGCGAGACAGACGGTTCTCTCCTGTACTTCGTTTTTAAAGTTGACAAATTCCAAGACAAAGTCCATTCAGTTTGGTAGACTGGTGATGGTGCATTGTATAAAAAGTATTTCAGTTAACATTAGACTCTTCTACTCGATTTCAGTCAAATTACACTTTTTAAATATTGATTAAAGATGTGGGTATGTGTCAATGTATGTACAATTTGCCGTCAGTGTATTGAAGAAGAAGTCCATTTTATCTCATTGCGTCCAAAATAAAAGGAACTTAAAGCAAAATACACCCAAGAAATATTACTGGTGTAGGCCAAGTGTGTTCTAGTTAAATTTATTGAACTTTTGAGTATAAAGAACATCAAACAGCTAACTGAGGAAAACACAATTTTACTTTATTTAAAATCACAGACAACATTATAACATGAACCGTCTTTTTACTTGTTTAATATGAAATTCTATAAAGACACCGATGAACTGTAAAGTTCAAGGTAATAAATAATTTTAAGTCAGTAAGTTAATAATCACTATTCGCGAAGTCATGTATTCATCAATGCTAACAATATACGTAGAACATTATCTCTTTGCACATTATATTTACCACTGGTACAAAAGTAAATCTTCGTATTTCAGTTAATCCAGACTGTTTATGGGCAGGAGGAAAAGGTCAGACAGATTCTGCATTTTTGACTCCGACTTTTCAGGTACTAGTAATAAGAATTCTAATGTAATACCAACTCTAATTGTTTATACATAACGTTTGCCGTCAATTCACGGTTGACGGTCGAAGTCATTGTCAACTACTTTGCGCAATCGCAGTGGACGTTTATGTGATGTTTGAAATGATTAATTTTGAACAATTTAAGAGTATTGCATTACAATAGCGATAACAGTACTGTAATTGAAGAGATGCCAACGTCAATGTTTGATTTGACGGTCGCAAATATCCGTTTTACTGGCTCCACTCCACTCAGCTTCGCCAGTTAAACTGCATTTGCGACCGTCAAATCCCCAATTGACTGCCAGCTCTTCAAACACAAGACTTTTATTCCTTAATTATTCTTTTGTGGTACTATTCAAATTATTATTATTCAGAACTAAAATGACATCTTGAAATATCGCAATAAAACATTACGTTCAGCCATCGTCGGATATACAGTGATACTTAGTAGTGACGTCAAATAACCAGTGGTAGTGAACCTATGTTTTTCCCTTTAGATACAGGTTATGGGCATTTTTTTGCAAAAGTGTACATGGTAAATTCAGATAACTAGCCTGTTTTATCTGAATTATATTTTTGGGCAGTTTATCTGCCCTATGCTAGCACACCAGATTTGCTTTTTGTTCCTCGGGAATACTGAAATAGGTGCCGTTGTCTTAAGAGTGCTAGTCTGTTATTTATAACTAATTGGACATTTTTTTCATGCTTTTAATTCTGGAAAACAAGAAATATATCAAGAATAACCTTAAAGGATCGTCGAACAACCCAAAATAAATGACGTTGCACATAGGAAATAGTGCTCAATGGAAAGTCTTACATTGAGTTTTATCTTCTGTGCCTTTGATAAAGATGTTAAAGAACAATTGTATGAAATATTTCATTGCCCAAACTCTCTATTTACACGTCGTTTATATTTGTCAAATTACTATAGACGCACAAATATTGTTTGGCGGTAATTTTAAATTGAAGACGAAAAGTAAATGTCAAGGATTTATTACATATATGCTCGTTATTGCAGATATGATAAATGATAGATGAACTTTGTTGTTTACAGTTAACATTTACAGACAGTCTGGAATTAAATTTATTTTGACATGATAAATTTGTAAACCTTCATGGATTGTTGTGAAACTTGGACAGAAGCTAACCTTCAAGACCAAGAAATAGAATCTAAAGAAAAAAGTTAGATTTTTTTTTTTTAATTCTGTATTTTACTGATAAACGGACTAATTTTCTAATTCAAATTACACTTTTACACTGACAGCAGCAATCGCAGGCGAGACAAAGGGGTCCGCTCAACCCCATATGATTTTTTTAAAGCCTGTATTAAATTGGTAATCTGACTTTTATTCTGTTTGTTGATTGTGTTGAAGAATTCTTGACGTTGTGGATACAGACTTGTCTATTCTTAGGTCGGTTTCTAAGATACTGTATGCGTTAGGCCAATTATATTTGGTGAATGGAATGACTGTAAGGTGTACATGTCAGTCTGCCAGGTTTCGTCTGACCTTGATCTCATTTTCACGGTTCATAGGTCAATGTTAAGTTTTTGTGTGTTTTTTTTTCTAATACTATAAGCAATAGGTCATTTTTATTTTGGCGTATGAAATGATTGTAAGTGTACATGTCTGGTATCATCTGTCCTTGACCTCATTTTCATGGTTCATTGTCAATGTTAAGTTTCAGTACTAAGCACCTTTTCAAAGATACTATACGCAATAGGTCAGCTATATTTGGTGTATGGAATGGTTGTAAGGTGTACATGTCTGTCTGACAGGGTCCATCTAACCTTGACCTCATTTTAATGTTTCATTGGTCAATATGAAGTTTTCATTGTTTGATCTGTTTCTTGTTTACTAAAAGCAATATGTCAACTATATTTGGTGTACAAATGTATGTAATGATTGTAAGGAATACATTCTGTCTGGCTTGGTTAATCTGACCATGAACTCATTCTCATGGATTATTGATATAAATGACAAGTGTCTGTGATAATTGTAGTAAAACTTCATCTTTACGATTATCAGCATAGAATAAATCATGAAGAGAAAAGCAGGCGAGACAATTAAAGCAAGGTTCATAATTATGAACACAACAACGTTCATATCCATATTAGCATTTTATATGATATTTTGTGGGAAAAAATGTATCGTAAAATTGAACCTCCCCATTAAACACGCTAAACCACCTTTTCGTAAATTCCCTTGATAGATGCATTTTCTTTTTTCAATTAATTCAGTGGAGACATGCACACATATACATACATCTTCTCATGCATTGAATCTTTAAAAAAGTAAATACATTTTAAAGTAATTTAAAATCTCGCAGTTGACCTCTGGAAAAAAATGGTATAGTGGTTGAGGAAATTGGAAACAGCGCAGTACAGAAAGATGTTGATACTTGAGATATAACAATCTGTGATAAATAATCAAACCAACTTTTTCGAAATTTCCATCTTTACTTTTGCCTTGGTTTCGATTAACTGCTCACAGCGCTAACAGTGCTGTGATTTAGATTCAAGTGGTGTACGTTAAGCTACTGTTTGACCCTTCATGTTAAAAAGAACATATGCGAAGTCAACGATTATACTTCTATTAAATGGTTATTGTTTTACTAACTTTATTGAAAATGTTGGTAAACTTTGATTTTCCGGGTTCTCTTAGCGGCTACATTATTTAGGATTTTCAGTTGTATCTGAGACTACTATAACACTACTACTGTTATAATATTCAGTTTTGTACAATTTTAACAAAAACACTGTCAAAAATTACCTCTCTTGAGCAAAATTTGAGTAAAATATAGAAAATATCTAATATCAAAGTTTAATTTATTTTTCTGTAAGTTTGTCATCTCGTTTTTTCAGGAACCAGTATACGACCATGACGGTGGACATCATATTTTGTATGCAGACTTCCCATCCGTGAAGGTCAAGGCGAAGAATAATTACGTGATTATGATTGACGACAAAATAGTAGCCTCAATGAAGGAAGGAGAAATCTATTATTTAATCAAGCAGGTTGATGATTGGTGGGAAGTAACTACCCTGCCAGGGGCTTCTTTCTTTATAAAGTCAGAGTGTGCTGAAATAGTTGGCCCAAATAAAAGATTGATGACTCGGAATCCAAAAACAATTCGTAGAGAATTCAGATTTCCCTCAAGTATTCAGAAGCGGACAGAGAGTGCAGAATCAGACATAGATGTAAGTACACAATTTCACACCAAATAAACTTCTTATGAATAGATTATACACATTTTATTCATTAAATCAACAGAGAAGCAGATTATACCACGCTATCCCATTTATTATGATAAAATTTCGATATAGTTTTTAAATTTCAAAACGGGGGACAACTCTTACCTTTTTTGAAAGTTTAGCTGTCTCGGGAAAATACATATAATTATTTTAGTAATATGATAAAAATCAATACATAATGTTGTAATGATACACTACTATTTCAGGTTAGAGAGAAGGTTAGCGCCTGTGAAAACGTTTAAACCCGCTGCATTTTTATGTATCTCTCCTACGTCAGGAGCTTGTTGTTCTGTGGTTGTCGTTTGTTGGTGTGGTTCATAGGTGTTTCTCGTTTCTCGTTTTTTTATATATTAGACCGTTGGTTTTCCTGTTTTACACTAGTCATTTTGGGGCCTTTTATAGCTTGCTGTTCGGTGTGAGCCAAGGCTACGTGTTGAAGGCCGTACTTTGTCCTATAATTGTTTACTTTTTCGTCTCGCCTGCTACGAAAGTCGCAGTATGCGAGACATAGGTATTATTATCCGGCGGCGGCGTAAACTATTTGTATAAAGCTTCATATTTCAGAAGGTAGAAAAACTGGATGGTTCATATCTTGTATGCAGATACCTTATGTTACGAAGTTTCTGTCTGTCATATGTCCAATGTCCTTGACCTCATTTTTATGGTTCATTAGTCAATGTTAAGTTTTTGTGTTTTGGTCTGTTTTTCAAGTACTATAAGCAATAGGTCAACTATATTTGGTGTATAGAATGATTGTAAGGTGTGCATGTCTGTCTACCAGGTATCATCTGACCTTGACCTCATTTTCATGGTTCATTGGTCAATGTTAAGTTTTTGTTTTTTGTCTGTTTTTTTTCTTCTTCAAATTCTTAAAGTAATAGGTCAGCTATATTTGGTGGATGAAATAATTGTAAGCTGTACATGTCTGTCTGGCATGTATTATCTGACCACCTTGACCTCATTTTCATGGTTCATTGGTCAGTGATACATTTTCGTAATTTTGTCATTCTATCAGATACTATAAGCAACAGGTCGACTACATTTGGTGTATTGAATGATTATAAGGTGTACATGTCTGTCTTGCCTGGTTCATCTGACCATGACCTCATTATCATAGAACCGTGATGATGTTAAGTTTATGTGTTACTTGTGGTAAAAACTTCATGTTACAGACTTTCAACATAAATTCAATGATAAGTATACAGGCGAGACATTTCAGCGTGTGCACTTTTGTTACACATTGTAACTTGGGTGGAGAGTTGTCTCATTGGCACTCGTACCCCATCATCTTATTTCTAATCGTCCATGCCTGCTAACGATGTAGTCAATGTTTAAAATTATCTTACCACAGATAACACACAACTTGTTATAATGTCTAAGGCTGCATGTGAAAAGAGAGAGAGAAAGATACCAATAGAACAATTCCACAGATAAGACACAACGTGTTATAATGTCTAAGGCTGCATGTGAAAAGAGAGAGAGAAAGATACCAATAGAACAATAGCACAGATAACACACAACGTGTTATAATGTCTAAGGCTGCATGTGAAAAGAGAGAGAAAAAGATACCAATAGAACAATACCACAGATAACACACAGCGTGTTATAATGTCTAAGGCTGCATGTGAAAGAGAGAGAAAGATACCAATAGAACAATACCACAGATAACATACAACGTTTTATAATGTCTAAGGCTGCATGTGAAAAGAGAGAGAGAGAAAGATACCAATAGAACAATACCACAGATAACACACAACTTGTTATAATGTCTAAGGATGCACGTGAAAAGAGAGAGAGAGAAAGATACCAATAGAACAATACCACAGATAACACACAACGTGTTATAATGTCTAAGGATGCACGTGAAAAGAGAGAGAGAGAAAGATACCAATAGAACAATACCACAAATAACACACAACTTGTTATTATGTCTAAGGATGCACGTGAAAAGAGAGAGAGAGAAAGATACCAATAGATCAATACCACAGATAACATACAACGTGTTATAATGTCTAAGGCTGCATGTGAAAAGAGAGAGAGAGAAAGATACCAATAGAACAATACCACAGATAACACACAACGTGTTATAATGTCTAAGGATGCACGTGAAAAGAGAGAGAGAGAAAGATACCAATAGAACAATACCACAGATAACACACAACTTGTTATAATGTCTAAGGCTGCATGTGAAAAGAGAGAGAGAAAGATACCAATAGAACAATTCCACAGATAAGACACAACGTGTTATAATGTCTAAGGCTGCATGTGAAAAGAGAGAGAGAAAGATACCAATAGAACAATACCACAGATAACACACAACGTGTTATAATGTCTAAGGCTGCATGTGAAAAGAGAGAGAGAGAAAGATACCAATAGAACAATACCACAGATAACATACAACGTGTTATAATGTCTAAGGCTGCATGTGAAAAAAGAGAGAGAGAAAGATACCAATAGAACAATACCACAGATAACATACAACGTGTTATAATGTCTAAGGCTGCATGTGAAAAGAGAGAGAGAAAGATACCAATAGAACAATACCACAGATAACACACAACGTGTTATAATGTCTAAGGCTACATGTGAAAAGAGAGAGAGAAAGATACCAATAGAACAATACCACAGATAACATACAACGTGTTATAATGTCTAAGGCTGCATGTGAAAAGAGAGAGAGAAAGATACCAATAGAACAATACCACAGATAACATACAACATGTTATAATGTCTAAGGCTGCATGTGAAAAGAGAGAGAGAAAGATACCAATAGAACAATACCACAGATAACATACAACGTGTTATAATGTCTAAGGATGCATGTGAAAAGAGAGAGAGAAAGATACCAATAGTACAATTGGAAATCATAACATTTGTTAAACAGACAAACCCATAGCCAAAAATAAAAACGATCAAAATACAAACAACAATAACAAAACATTGAATTGATTTGACTTTAAGACAACCATAAATAGTTATAAATAAGATTTTTTGTAAATCAAATAGTAAAAAGAGATTATAAGATAAATTTTTAAATACATTAATTTATAAAACATAAACCGCCTTTCCGGTATGCCATTTTTACTTTTATGTAATCTATTTTTATTTTAGGGTTACGAGATTGTAGACTTCAAAGGAAGTAAAAATGAGGATACAGACCAGGTAGGTTTTCTTCAGTTTTGTAGAAACCAAATTGACTTTCTAAATTTCCTTTTTATGGCCCCGCCACAACTTAAAGTGGTCGGGGCCATATAGTTTTACCCTTATCTGTCATCCCGTCATTCCACAACGAACAGTTATACGGACTTTTTTCTAAACGCCTTCACATATTGAGCTGATTTTAGTACTCGAGTCTACTATGGTGAGTTACAGATGTAGTTTACTTTTGGTTCTGCTTCGCTGATTTTTGCCGAAATTACTGGCTTTGGACTTTGAACATTTTGTGAAAATAACAGTTATACGGACTCATTCTCAAATTTCCATTCCTGAAATGGCTTCAAGCTTTTTTTGAAGTCATTCGTGTCGTTCCTATACATCTAGTTTAAGTGTTATTCATGTGAATTACTTGTGTTGGACGTGTAGTAGGAAACTAGATTGGTTTATGTCATCAGTAATATGTAAGAAATGTGTAAAAGAATAGACATTTCGTTACTAATAATTTATATACAAAACACATAATTATAAAATAAAGACCAAATAGATATAAGAAGATGTGGTATGAGTGCCAATGAGACAACTCTCCATCCAAGTAAAAATTTATAAAAGTAAACCATTACAGGTCATAGTACGGTCTTCAACACGGAGCCTTGGCTCACACCGAACAGTAAGCTATAAAGGGCCCCAAAAAATTACTAGTGTAAAACCATTCAAACGGGAAAACCAACGGTCTAATCTATTTAAAAAAACGAGAAACGAGAAACACTTATGAACCACATCAATAAACGACAACTACTGTACATCAGATTCCTGACTTAGGACAGGTGCAAACAAATGCAGCGGGTTTAAACGTTTTAATGGTACCAAACCTTCACCCTTTTTCTGAAACAATAGTGTAACATCACAACATAGAAAGACACACTATAAAATATCAACTGAAATAGCTTAACTCAAATACCGTATTTGTAAAGATCCGGAAAGTAAGCATATCTGTTTATTCTATACAGAGTTTTTTTCGGTCACAATTATTTTGTTCGGTCTTTATGGTATAAAATAGACGTTCGGTCTTTATGGTATAAAATAGACGTTTGGTCTTTATGGTATAAAATAGACGTTCGGTCTTTATGGTATAAAATAGACGTTTGGTCTTTATGGTATAAAATAGACGTTTGGTCTTTATGGTATAAAATAGACGTTTGGTCTTTATGGTATAAAATAGACGGTACTCATTTTGCCGATATCTTTTTATTATATGTTGTAGTGGTATTGATTGATACTGGAAGATGTATTTCAAAAACTGGTCCATGGACAACAATTGAAAACATTCACATGTTTTATTTTTTTTTATTTGTTGCATTCAAAGACCACAACTTCATCAAAATACCCAAAGGGTTGACTTGGGTATAGAAATTTGATAATCTGGTAGTAAGTCTAAACCAATTCTGGTGGCCTTTATCCCGATTGGATATTCTGGATGTCCAAATACGCAGACATATCTGGATGTAATGGGGACGTTATTACACGATGCAACGTGTTGGTAGAGTGTCTCGCTCTCTTCACTTACTAGTAACACAATCCTTACATCAACTGAGAGGGATTCATATGACACACACGTCAAGGCAATACCAGCCGTTACGAAGCATGCCCTCTATCTCCGGAGGCAGTCCTAAATTCCTGCTTTTTATCCCGGTCGACCCACGTGCACTTAACAGTACATGCCTAGTTTATTTATTCGTCCCTCATCAAATATTCCCCTCTGAAAATATAACAAACAACGATCAATCTATAGCTCTCTAACATTTCTTGGACAACCATTATAGAAATAATAACTGTACGTTATTCGCATCAACCATAATTGTCGAAATGCGCATCTGGTGCAATAAGATTGGTGCCGTTTATGTTACTAAATAAATCATTATTTGTTTCCCAATTAAAACCATTAGCTTGGTTTATTTGACTTACAGTATACAAATATGATCATTGTTTTTCCAGCTTTATGAAACGCCTTGGGATTTACGTAATAAACACGAATTAGTTCGTAAAATGGTATCTGAATCAGGACCTAGAACTACTCCTAGACAATTGACTGAATTAGGACCTAGAGCTGCTCCTAGACAATGGAGACGAAATGCAGTCAACTTAAAATTGAATCCATCAGAAACAGATGGATATTTAACACCACAGAATATCGGCAAAGTTTTGAAACAGAAACGATCAATGTCATTACCGTTACCTCAAATAGATGCAAGGCCGCCGGTAAGTAACGTATTTAATATGTTCTTAAAAACGAAGATTCTTCTCGTTATCCCATAGTTGTTTTCCGATGATGATGCCAGCTTATCCTATCGTCTTCTTTGTTTTGGTATTGAATGCATCATCTTGTCGTCAGAAGAGGTATTGCACTAAACTAAATGAATATAGAACGTGAAAGGTAAGTATAATTCTTAAAGGTGCGCTTTCCTTAAATCCGAGCTGAGGCTTGAGGGGTTACGTTAGTAAATTTGATTTAAAGAATTACCAACGTAGCAGCGCATGCCTCAGCTCGGATTTAAGGATAGCACATCTTTAAGAATAATACTCGCTACATTCAAACTCGGTCCACAATGCTGACCATTTAAACTAGTTACAACCCGTTGAAGATGATGGTATACACTGCTAAATCCTAACAATGCAATTTTCCATATAATTAACGTTTCCAAGCGATATAACTCTTTAAAAAAATAATTGATCGGCACTGATTTTCGAACTCGTCCAAGACATTGCTAATATAAACCTTTGATATAAGTTTCATAAAACTCTGGCGAGAATTGTACAAATAAGAGCGCTAACGATGCAATTTTCGATATAACTAATGTTTCCAAGGGGCATAACTCTTTTAAAAAAAATTGATCGGCACTGCTTTTGGAACTTGTGCAAGACATTGCTGATATAAACCTATGGTATAAGCTTCATAAAAATCTGGCAAGAATTGTACATGTGCGAGCGCTAATAAGTATTGCATTTCCAGCAGCGTCGGCGGCGGAGAAGGATGCGGCAACAATTGTTAAGTGTTTTGCTTAAGTAAAGTCTGATAGGAACGACTTGTTATGGTCCAGCGATTTTGAATTGTTGGAATGTTACTGCCCATCAGATTGTCTTTTTTCGAATATTCTGCCAACAGGCGAGACATATCTCTGTGTCAACAGTTTATTATATCATGTCAAGTGAAAATGGCAAAATGCGAAAATCTGTGCCATCTTTTTCGCCAGGTAGATTGCGTGTTATTTTGACCAACTCGTATAGGGTTTGGGAAGGATTAAGATAGTCAGACTTCGAACTTGTATAGTTCATTAAGTTTGTAGTAAATATTAGTCCAAATATTTAAAAGAAATTTAGATGAGTCAACAAATGCTGCTTCGGTTGCACATATCTTCATTTTAATTTTCATTATGACTATTTTTTCTTTTTACACAGTTGAAGATCCCGGATGTAGCTTCCCAGACTAAAGGTAAACAATAAGTACAGCTTAAACATATTTTATTTACTCAAAGTAAAATGGATTGGAAACAAGTAACCATACTTATGAAGTCCGCTCCGAATTACAATATATAACAATACAATATCAATATAAGCATGCAATATTTCAAAATATATGCAAAACATTAAATTATGAGTCTAGCTATTGAAAATAGATGAAACCATAATAACGGAAAATTGGTCATAACGACAATGATGTGAATTGTACCGAATTCAGTATCATATGACAAGAAATCTCTCAGACCTTATAATAAATTCGGATACTATTAGTTACATAGTGTGCTTGTGACCTAATACGATATATATGGGGTCAGTAAATTCCATATGGGGTGAGAGCGAACTTCAAGCTCGAATCCCCAAAATTGAGACAAGTTTGTGTTTTAACTGTAACGGCGACATCGTAATATATTTGTATAAAGCTTTATTATGAGTTATATGGTATATGTGTCCGTCAAACAAGGCTAATTCGACATTTTTCGTGATATAAATTCTGTTTCTCGACTAGCCATCAATATTTGATATATAGAATGATTGTGACTGGTACAATTGTTCATCTGGCAGGAATGATCTGACATTGTCGTCATTTTCATCGTTCATTGACCAGCGTCAAGTCTTCGTGATAAGGTCGGGTTTTTTAAAACTATAACTGTTACAATGGGTCAACTATATTTAGTGTATAGAACAAATGTAAGGGGTGCATGTTCAACTGCCAGGATGCATCTGAACATTTCATTTTCCTGGTTCATTGTCATTTTTTCAGTGACTTTACGAAATTGATAAATAACGTGTGGTATAAAATTATTGTAAGGTGCCCAAGTCCGTCTGACAGAGTTCTCCTGAACTTTACATAACTCCATGATTCAGTAATCAGTGTTAAGTTTTGCATGATACGGTCAAGTAATAGATCGACTGTATACAAGTTAAAGGAGACATGGGGTATACGCCAATAAGACAGCTACCCAACGATAAAACAGATTAAAAGACAGCTAGAGGGCAATATACAGTCTTGAACAACAACCAAGTGTCCCTATAATAGGTCAAGCTTTAAATCAATTAATAGTTATTTTAAGGATTACTTGATGTTTTGAAAGTTTTCAGTTGACCTTGGCCTCATTTTCATATATTGTTTTCTGATTTTCGTGATTTTATCAGATTTTTAGTATCTATAACTTGTAGGTAAAGTATGTTTTTCGTATGGAATCATTGTAATGTGTATGTGTCCGTGTGATAGGGCTCAGTTGACCTTGATCCCTTTTTATTGAATCATTCACTTATGTTACGAGACTTCTATCTGCTGGACTTTCTACAAACAATACTCAATTATAATTAGTCAAACAGGTGAGGAATTACAGATTGTCCACTCTTGTTTTTCTTTCGTTGGGTTTCTGTCGAAAATTTATACAACTCGTTAATAAAGACATGTTGTCATAGCCGGAGAATCGATTTTTCATTAAATTTTGTTTACTAAATGCAATATTCATTTTGAACAGTTTTTCAAATTTTTCGCATTGTCAAATGAAATTGCAATTGGTTTCACAGAAATAAATCTGTTTTAATTCGTCGCCGAAGGCGGAAGCAGGTCTAGTAACCTTCGACTCCGTCCATCCGAGTCAAAGTTTTCTTGGCTTCTATAACAGACGATGATTAAGATTTGATATTTGATCTGCAGCTTGATAATGTGGATGTTTTAGCGAGTTAGCAATTTTAACTTTATTTTTATTAAATGTTCTTGGCGTCTATGAAAGGGAATGATTTAATAGTTGGTCTGCAGCTTTATAATATTGAGTAGTAGCGAGTAAGCAGTTCTTACATCTGCCGTATTGCCACGTCCTCTTTGCCGGTATTTTTTAATTTTACAACAATCATTGTACAAGGAAAATTTTCGTCAAATATTCTTGACTCATTTGAAAGTGAAGGATTTTTAATATTTTGTTTGGGAATGATCAGTTATGCTCCAGTTTACATGTTACCTCAAGCAATTGCATGTAGCGACGCAGGTACGGACCCGGTATTGGTCTTGTTGTTTATTGCCGGTGATAAATCAGATCGACTGAAAGATCATCACTCATCTTATACAATAAGCGTCCTTGTACTTTACAGTATCTTCTTTTACAGGAATAATTTTTGAAAAAAAGTCTCAAGAAACAAAAAAAACTGTTTCGATGTTTCTTATACTTTTCTTTCTTTTTTACAGATAAGCACAAAAAGTGACGTGGTCGGTGATTGATTCTTGGCACACGTTATTTGCTGTATTTATCATTTATAAAACGGTTACAGACAAGACCTGTATCGAAAAGGAACTGCCATAAATATTACTTTACATCAACGAAATGCAGACGACTTATATAAAAGCAGATTGAAAAGTGTGCATATGTCTATACGTTTTGTTACTGGATTCTGTTTACTTTGTGTTTAGCGTTGAGAGTATTTTTGAAGTTCTATGAATAAAATATATTTCTGAGGTTTTCTTCCATTTTGTGTGATCATGGTACATAGTGAAGTCCAGGAAACTAAGTACGTTCTTATCTTTGAAGTCCGGATAATTCAAAATATTTTAAATTTATAAAATAAATAGTGTAAAAGAAGATTATAAGTTAGAGAAAAGGAAGAGTATCATTGATGCAGTTGTGAACTGAATCTATTAATATAAAAATAATTTGAGTAAAAATAACTTTATTTCAATAATATTTAATATGAAGACCACAGATATGTTAAACTCTGATGCATCTGTACATGGTCCATTCTCCAGTCTTTTTTGGGGGGAAATCTTTGTTTTTTTGTTGGTTTTTTGTCGAGCCTGCGACTTCTGTCGCAGAAAGCTCGACATAGGAATAGTGATCAAGCGCGGCAGTAGCGACGTTAACTAACTTCTTAAAAGCTTAACATTTCAGAAGGTAAAAGACCTGGATGCTTCATACTTTGTATATAGATGCCTTATGATATGAACTTTCCGTCTGTCATATGGCCATTGTCCTTGACCTCATTTTCATGGTTCAGTGACTACTTGAAAAAAAGTTAAGATTTTTTGTAATGTTAATTTCTCTCTTATTATGAGTAATATGATAACTATATTTGGTATGTGCGTACCCTTGCAAGGTCATCGTGCCTCGACAGTTTTCACTTGACCTCAACCTCATTTCATGGATCAGTGAACAAGGTAAAGTTCTCGTGGTCAAGTCCATATCTCAGATACACTAAGCAATAGGTCTTCTTTATTTGGTGTATGTAATGATTGTAAGGTGTACATGTCCAACTGGCATGTGTCATTTGAAATTGACCTCATTTTCATGGTTCAGTGTTAAAAGTCAAGTTTTTGTGTTTTGGTCTTTTTTTCTAATACTGTATACAATAGGTCAATATATTTGGTGAATATAAATATTTTAGGATGTACATGTCAGTCTGGCAGGTTTTATTTGACCGTGACCTCATTTTCACGGTTCATTGCTCAATGTTAAGTTTTTGTGTTTTGGTCTGTTTTCTTAAACTTTAAGCAATAGGTCAACTATATTTGGTGTATGGAATGATTGTAATGTGTATATGTCTGTCTGGCAGGTATCATCTGACCTTCATCTCATTTTTATGGTTCATTGGTCAATGTTCAGTTTTCCTGGTTAACTTTGTTTCTTAGATACTATAAGCAATATATCAACTATATTTGATGTATGGAATGATTTTTAGGTGAATATGTCTGTCTTGCAGGGTTCATGTGACCTTGACCTCAATTCCATGGTTTGGTCTATTTCTTTTGTACTATAAGCAATATGTCATCTATATTCGTCGTATGGAATGATTGTATTATAGGTGTACATGTATTTCTGGCTTGGTTTATCTGACATGACCTCATTTTCTTGGACCATACAATGTTTTTGTGATACTTGTAGTAAAACTTTATATTTAGGACTATCAATATAAAATCAATTGTCAGTATAGTAGGCGAGACATTTCAGCGTGTGCACTCTTGTTTTGTTAAGAAGCAGATTGAGAATGTTGTCTTGTGTACGCGTTTATTTTAGTAAAATAAACCCGTTACTGAAGTTACTTGTTTTGCATGAAGTTTAGAAATTTTCATATCTTGAATGGTTTATTTGCTTGATTACATAGAAATGGTTACCGGTAGAGAAATATATTGAGGGAAAGCTTAGATTTGGACGGAAAAGGTTGTGAAAATTGTGTCTGTTTTATGTAACAATTTTTATTGTTTGGAGCCTACAGATATGGATATTTAAAAAAAAATGTCAGAGATGGAAATTATTCTACCAATATTTTCGGAGAACGTGGTGGTTTTTTGTTGTTGTTGTTTGTTAGCGAAATAAAATGGAAATAAACAATATTGTACTACATTGTCTACTAGAGTAGACATTATAATCACAACCAAAAAAAATATGTTTTTAACACCCATGATATACCTACCGGCACAAGTGGCTGTTACAATATGATATCGGCGCTTTACGCTTGCGCGAATAAAAATAAATAATAATAAAATTTGTATAAATAAAAATAATGATTTCTGGTATAAAAAAAAAAAAAAAAAAAATTAAAATTAAAATTTGTTAAAGATAAACTGAAACGCATTTGAACTGTTTTATCGACCATCTTACATTATTTACAAGATGAAAGTCGATATTCAATATGGAGTTTGCCATCTGTCTATAATACAAACAAAGGTTAAAAATTCTTGATATTCGATGGATAAACATAGCGACATTTCCTGGAGATTCACCTAGAAAATGTGGTTAAAAGTTCTTGATATTCGATGGATAAACATAGAGATATTTCCTGGCGATTCACTTAGAAAATGTGGTTAAAAATTCTTGATATTCGATCGATAAACATAGAGACAATGCCTGCAGATTCACATAGAAAATGTGCAAATGTATGATACTGTGAAATTTTACCTACGGGAACAAATGAGCATATTCATGAAAGTGATTGTTTCATGAAAAGAACACATACATTCCTGGCTGTGGGGTTTTCTCAATGTTGAAAGCAGTACGATTGCTTATAATAGCTTACATCCACTTCATTTGAACTTTGGTGGATAGTTCTCATTGGCAATCATACCACAGCTCCTTATTTTTACATCGGATGACCGTGAGGGCATTCCGGTGTATTGCTGTCGCCTAGATTTCCATTACGTAATTTTCGTGTTGGGATTGTAACCGATCTATAAACATGATAAATACGCGGACATTATCGAGTGCAAAATAACATTCCTTATCGCTTGTTATAAATTCCTTTTTTCAATGGATACTCCTAAAAATATTTTTTTTTAGAACATAAATTAATAACATGAAAATGTTTTGTCGTTAGAAATATATATATAAGTAAAAAATCTTTAATATCTATGCACACGTACAGAAAATGTGTGTTAACGCATGCGGAAGAATATCTCAAGAACGTTTGCGTTACCACATCAAATGCCGATTTAGCATCTAGAAATGCTATATATATTTCTTTTCCAGAATTCATTAGAGAATGCAGAGATGCTGGTAAAGAAATATATATAGCGTTTCTAGATGCTAAATCGGCATTTGATGTGGTAACGCATGAGAGAATCCTAAGAAAGCTATACATAGCACGCGTAGATGGGCTACTATGGAAACTTATACATAGTCTCCACATAGACTCTAGTAGTGTAGTTAAATTTAATGGTCTAATATCCGAACCATTTTCAATATACCAAGGCGTAAAACAAGGTGAGCGCCGACCTGTACAAGCTGTACATCAATACTCTCCTAAAAGATATTGAGCACTCAGGATTGGGAGCAAAAATAGGATCCATTCGTTGCGCCGCTCCGAATTGTGCAGACGATGTGGCACTAATGAGCGACAACCCTGAGGAACTGCAGGTACTTTTCAACATGGCATACAACTATAGTCGAAGGGAGAGATATAAGTTTCAACCAGTGAAGAGTGTTATTCTGCCAGTGTATCCAAATCGTAGAAAACAACAAGAACCTTCCTTTCCATGGCATATAGGCAACTCAATAATGCCAATAGTTAACCAAACAACCCATATGGGGGTCTTACGCACATCAAAACCAGATGATCCTAATCCGTTATATGAAAACGTGAAAAAAGCAAGACGAGCCATGTACAGTCTAATGCCAGCTGGTTTGCATGGGAAAAATGGACTAGACATACAAACTTTACTATACATATATTTAATATCTATGTCATTCCTGTACTTCTGTACGGCCTGGAATTAGTAACTACTTCTGGAAAAAACTTGATATTATCGACATATTCCACAAAAAATGCATTAAACAATTACTTTCTTTACCAACAAGTACAGCTACTCCCGCCATATACATTCTCTCTGGACAAATGCCAATAGAAAGCCAAATACATAAAAAGATTCTGCCATTATTTGGAAATATATGCAGACAACCATATGATAGTCTAGAAAAACAAATTGCATACAGACAACTACTTATAAAAACGGATGATAGTCACAGCTGGTTTATTATTGTTTAAACTATCCTAGCGAAATACAACTTACCATCAGCATTATATTTATTAGACAGTCAAATTCAAAAATTAAAATGGAAGACCATCGTAAATAAAGAAGTATCAAAGTATTGGAAACATTTTATCGAGGGTCATTGTAAGCTGTACCCCTCACTAAAGTATTTAAACAGTCAATATATACCAGGAAAAACACATGTATTAGTAAACCTATCTGGTAGTAATTCCATGCAAGAAGCTCAGAGGATACCTGTGAAACTGGGAATAGCAACAGGAAGCTATATACTCATAGATATAGGAAGATGTGGTATGAGTGCCAATGAGACAACTCTCCATCCAAGTTACAATTTATAAAAGTAAACCATTATAGGTCAAGGTACGGCCTTCAACACGGAGCATTGGCTCACACCGAACAGCAAGCTATAAAGGGCCCTAAAAAATTACTAGTGTAAAACCATTCAAACGGAAAAACCAACGGTCTAATCTATGTAAAAACGAGAAACGAGAAACACGTATGAACTACATAAACAGACGACAACTAATCAGATTCCTGACTTAGGACAGGTGCAAACATTTGCAGCGGGATTAAACGTTTTAATGGTACCAAACCTTCTCCCTTTTCTGAAACAATAGTATAACATCACAACATAGAAAAACACACTATAAAATATCAATTGGAAGGCTTAACTCAATCAAAAAACGTAAATTAACACACAATGGACGAATAAATTTGACCTGTGACACCTGAATGCAAATACACAGTTAATAAAAATTACAAGGGATAAATAATTAAAGTCAAAAGTAAATAAACAGGTTTAAACAAAGTTAAAGTATGATATCACTGTGAAATTTCAAACAATTTTTAGAAAATCATCACTTTTGAAGAAACCTGCGTCATATTATACACAGGTAAATGAAAATAATTTTGTTGTTAAGTATACTTCTTCTTCTGTGTGTATAAAATCTTCCGATTAGGAATACCAAGAAATTTCTTTAATATCAATAAAACTAATCTAACACTTGGTACATATGGGGTGAATATCAACAATAAAAATATACAATTATATCTATATACAAAATATGAAGCATCCAGGTTTTCCACCTTCTAAATATAAAGCTTTTAAGTAGTTAGCTAACGCCGCCGCCGTAACATTATCCCTATGTCGAGCTTTCTGCGACAAAAGTCGCAGGCTCAACAAAAACACTTAAAATAAAAAAAAACTTCAATGGTATTCATATTCAAAACACTGAACTGACACCTTAATGAACAAACTGGGTAAATTAACCATTTTCCATTCAATTATCTTGAGTAATTTCAACTTTTGCTCTTTGGCCTGGTATTTCTGCAGAAAAACTCTCAAAAAAATGAAAAAAAGTTCAAGAAAGAGCACTCCGTTTTTGTATATGAGGACAGTTCTAGTTCCTATGAGAATTTCAAGTCAAAATAATGAAAACAATGGCAATCGAAAGTTTTAAAATCATTTATAACGTATCACCTGTATATTTACAAGACTTATCAAAGTCATTGCCTAAATATGGCTCTGTTTGTATATATCTATCACCCCCAAATAATCAAATAAAATGAAAGCATTAACTTACGTTCTTATTAAGTAATGTTTAATACGATATAATTTTATTTGAATTGGACGAAGTTCGATTTTCTTGCTACTTATTTCAAAATGACAACTATGCTTGCTTTTTGTTGACAGATTCTACTGAGAAACAAAATCGTATGTTGAAAAAATTGCTATTAGATATGATACTATATATTATAGAAAAACAACGGATATGGGGTACCCATCAATGACACAAAATCAGTACATGCACAGCTACATATTGTCTGCTTTGAAATTTATCCAAACAAAACATATTTTTTTTAATGAAAGTTATGAGCAATTTATCAAAAAGATTTGTAAAGGATTTCACGGAATACTGTGTCTCGCCTGCGATTCAAACTGTCAATCTAAAAGTGTAGTGTTGACTGCCAAAAACAAATTCCATTTATCACTAAAATGCGAAAAAAGAAATTTGAATCAAACCATAGACTGTATCTCATGTAAACTGCCAAATATTCGCAAAATATAGAAAAATGAAAAAAAAATATTATTAAAGTGTTGCTCTGTATAGCAATTGTCTTTAAATTTGATCATATTAAAGCTTATGTCCAAGTTTCGCAAAACTCTTATGATTGTTTGAAAAGTTATTGAGGTCTGAAAAACTTTAATCTTAAACAGTACCTCATTCTTAACTTTAAAAAAGTCCATTTTTCCACAAAATACGGAGAAAATTCTAAAAATTATTTTTCTAAATATTGTTCTGGACACTGTCTTTTGGTCATAAAAAATCTTCTGTCTAAGTTTCATAAAATACCATGAAGGTTTGAAAAAATTTGATGTCGCAGGCTTGACAAAAAACACCGTGGGCCTCCCCTTCTCAAAAATCCTCAGGTCAATACGAATAGATGTGAAATTAAACACAAATCTTTGATTCAAAGAGGGGGCCTCGGTGGCCGAGTGGTCTAAGTAGTTACTACTGTAATCACTAGCCAGTCAACACTGAGGTTGTGAGTTCGAACCCCGCTCGACTCCAATCTTAATTGACTAGGATTGTCAGTTTTCCTATCGAAGGTCGGTGGTTATCTCCGGGCACTCCGGCTTCCTCCACCAATAAAAACTGGCCGCCACGAAATAGCCCAAAAGCGGTGCTTAAAAGTGGCGTTAAAACACCAAAAATCAAATCAAATTGACTCAAAGATAATATTAGTAGGAGGAGGAAATGATTAGAGCTTTTAATACCGGGTATTTTAAATCGCGGAGTTCGAATGATATAAAATATTCGAAGTTTTCGATAAATATAACTTGGACTTAAGTATTACCGTACATGTACCGGTATGGCATCTTGATTTTGGTATGACAGTATATTTTTATTTAGTTCTTCTCGTATAGTTTATAGAGATGTGAGGTATACTTCAATGAGACAGCAACCCAACGACAAAAACATGTCGGGTGACTTTTTTCAAAATTCAATATTTACAAAGCAAAACAATTATTTGTTTTCTATTTTTTCACAAATTGTATTGAAAAGTTTACTAGAAGTCTCACGTATATTTGAGACTGAAAAGTTAACTAGGCGTCGGATTTGTCTTGAGACTGAAAGTTTAAGTAGAAGTCGGATGTCTCTTGAGACTGAAAGGTTAAGTGAAGTCGAATGTGTCTTGAGACTGAAAGGTTAAGTAGAAGTCGGATTTGTCTTGAGACTGAAAGGTTAAATAGAAGTCGGATTTGTCTTGAGACTGAAAGGTTAAGTAGAAGTCGGATGTGTCTTGAGACTGAAAGGTTAAGTAGAAGTAGGATGTGTCTTGGGACTGAAAGGTTAAGTAGAAGTCGAATGTGTCTTGAGACTGAAAGGTTAAGTAGAAGTCGGATGTGTCTTGAGACTGAAAGGTTAAGTAGAATGTGTTTGAGAATGGAAACTGTACACAAAGGTTAACTAGAAGTCGAATGGGTTTTGAGAAAGGAAACTGTCCACTTAAAGGTTAACTAGAAGTCGGTGTGTCTTGAGAAGAGAAACTGTACACTGAAAGGTTAGCAAGAAGTCGAAAGTGTCTTGAGAAGGGAAACTGTATACAGAAAGGTCAAGTAGAAGTCAAATGAGTTTTGAGAAAGGAAAGTGTATACTGAAAGGTTCGCTAGAGTCAAAAGTGTCTTGAGAAGAGAAAATGTATACTGAAAGGTTAAGTAGAAGTCGGTTGTGTCTTGAGAAGTGAGACTGTATACTGAAAGGTTAACTATAAGTCAAATGAGTTTTGAGAAGGGAAACTGTACACTGAAAGGTTCGCTAGAAGACGAATGTGTTTTAAGAAGGGAAACTGTATACTGAAAGGTTAACTTGGAGTCGAGGGTGTATTGGGAAGGGAAACTGTATACTGAAAGATTAACTAGAAGTCAGGTGTGTCTTGAGAAGGAAAACTATATACTGACAGAAAGTTGAACAAGTTGGATGGGTCTCGAGAAGGAAAACTGTATACTGAAAGTTGAACGAGAAGTAGGATGTGTTTTGACAAGGGAAACTGTGTATTGAAAGATTTACTTGAAGTCGAATGTGTCTTAAGAAGGGAAAATGTATACTGAAAGGTTAACTAGAAGTCGGATGTGTTTTGAGACAGGAAACTACACTAAAAGGTTAACTAGAAATAGAATGTGTTTTGGGAAGGAAACTGTATACTGAAAGGTTAACAAAAAGTCGGATGTGTCTTGAGAAGGCAAAATGTATACTGAAAGGTTAACTAGAAGTTGAATGTGTTTTTGGAAGGGAAACTGTACGCTGAAAGTTAAACAAGAAGTTCGATGTGTCTTGAGAAAGGAATCTGTATACTGAAACGTTAACTAGAATACTGGTGTGTCTTGAACATATATCTATAAGTATTGTATTGCTTATGTCATGTACTATTGGACATGATCTTTGTTCTTTACCTTTGACCTCCAGGTCATTTTCTTGTTACTTTTATAACATGATTATATGCTTTTTTCAATACATTTGAAATCCTATATTTCCCACAGGTTAACACAGAGACCATAGCTTTGATGTAGACTGTAGAGACATGTGTTTCTCTCAATTATCTAAAACAATTCGTCTCAAAATTCCAATAGGGAACATGTATTACATTATTGTAGTAAATAAACCATTTTTAAAACGTTTCAGCCACTGGCTTTCTTCAGTTTCTTTATTATCCTTCTTAACTACATGGTAGACATTTTTACTTTCACAATCATTAAGGTAAAACAATTCTGGTTAAACATATTTCTTTTGCTGGCCAAAGAATAAATTAAGTGGGGAAATAAGAATATGGTGACAATTGAACATTCCTTGTTCACATTAAATTGACTGAGATCTGGATATGGTTCATATCTCTCAAACCTTCTTCAAAGCGCCCTCTAAAATGATGTACGCTGACTTCATAATTACATAACTGGCATTTTAATAAATAAACATTTATCTATTGTATTATTTATTATTAAAATGTAATTCTCAGATATAAAATTATATAAATAATTAACAATGTTAATCTATAACAATTAAAGCACCATAACAATATAATATCCTATAATATCACAATATCTTACATTGAAGACATCATACTGACCATGTATAATAAAACAAGACTTAATGAACACAACCTCAAATAATTTAATTATCAGTATTCAATATATATGTTTGGGATACTGGAAAATGTGAAAAATTCCCAGGAAGCTGGAGCTTGGTTTGGTTAGCTTAGTGGTTACAATACACATCCATTTGATGTAAAAAACAATTTCACATTTCATTTATAAAGATTTCTTATAAAAATAAGTTATTCATTTCTTTTAAAATAAACTTAAAAAAAAAATTGAAAATCTTAAATTGCTATACTGTTATGAGAATCATACTACTGATCTGTGAAACTTTGAAATCATTTAAAGATTTCAGAAACTTGCCAAGGACATTATGAATGTCATAATAAAATTCAAAAAAAGTTTCAAAAAATTTACTGAGAAGTGTATCTTTAATCTATAGTTATAAACTGTAATTAAATTCTCCCTCCGAATGTTTGTCTGAATTTAAAGTAATTCTTTACTAAATTCCTAAGTATAAATAAGACAAAACTCTAATATAATATTGGTTGCTCCAGTTATTTGTTTTCTCTTGCAAACAATGTATAATAACATATTAATCTAACATAATTTAATAACAATATTCAAATTGACATTTCATACAACAAATTGTGCAACACATCATTATATGTTAATGAACTTATCAGGAATCTGATGTTCAGTAGTTGTTGTTTGTTGATGTGGTTCATAAGTGTTTCTCGTTTCTCGTCTTTTATATAGATTAGACCATTGGTTTTCCCGTTTGAATGGTTTTACATAAGTAATTTTTGGGGCCCTTTATAGCTTGCTGTTCGGTGTGAGCCAAGGCTCCGTGTTGAAGACCGTACTTTGACCTATAATGGTTTACTTTTATAAATTTTGACTTGGATGGAGAGTTGTCTCATTGGCACTCATACCAGATCTTCTTATATCTATTTTAAAAAGTCTATATGATCCATATTCAAATAAAAGGCAAACTGTTTGTTGTAGTGACTATAAGCACCTTAAATGAATTATCAGCTCAACCAATTTCTTTATATAGTAAATGGAACTCCACCCTTTTAACCGCCAAAGAATTTCACATTCATATATTAGTCATATACATGTATCCAAATCCCAAATAACAAGAACCCGTTTTTAACATATAAATAGTATAGCAATATCAAACTCAGGGAAAATCCCTTAAATCCAATGAAAACAAAGATATATCTCAATGCTTACATCATATGCCTGCTGTCATTTGAATAATGCTATCATATGCTAGTCTTGATAAATGTTGTAACTTAAAACATTTCTAAACAAGATATATAATATTTGTTATATATTGCACATTTTATTTTGATTGTAAAATACCATTTCTCTAATTCTTATATGATTTATACTTTTACTGAAAGTTTGATTAATTTTATATTACTGAAAGTTTGATTATTTTTATATTACTGACAGTTTGATTATTTTTATATTACTGAAAGTTTGATTATTTTTATATTACTGAAAGTTTGATTATTTTTATATTACTGAAAGTTTGATTTTTTTTATATTACTGAAAGTTTGATTATTTTTATATTACTGAAAGTTTGATTATTTTTATATTACTGAAAGTTTGATTATTTTTATATTACTGAAAGTTTGATTATTTTTTTTTTATAATCAATATGTGGTAAGTTTGATATCGGTTTTTTATTAGTCAAAATTTAATTATGACGTCAAATGTTCTTGTTGTTCTTGCCTGATGACGTCACATGTAAAGAACACATCTTTTTTGCAGATCAGTGAAAAAGTTTGTAGACATATTGGCTAAATATCATTGGAGAAAACAATTTCACCCCCTAATCTTGTGCAATACAATTCTTCTCCCCTCTCAACAGTTAAATTTTAAATATTCAAAAAGTTCGGCAGGCCTTGCATTTAAAATTTGAAAATTCAAGTGCCTCGAGTGGAGAAATATCATATCACACTTGATGTAGTGGTGAAATCTATATTTATGAAAATACTTCTCTTGACCTAATTTTTTATAATCAAAATTTTAAGGGGAAAAAAATGAAATTCCATATACTTTTTATTTTAGCATCACGTATATATATTTTGCTTTAAGTTCGATTAACACACCAGAAAAACTTTGCTTTAACTAAGTATCATGAATGATAGGTATCAGTAAAACTACCCTATTAATCTTAATTTACAGACCACTTTTATGGACATGAATTAACTTTGGCTTAAACTAATGGCTTGTTAACACAAATATAAATTACGATTCCTGTAATATTAAACAACTTCAGCCCCAATCAATAATCTTTTGTAGGTTGCATTTTTTTTTTTTCTGGACAACAAATTTTTTTGACTTTAATCAAAAACAAATAATTTTTTTCAATTATACAAATACAAATTTTGAAAGTCAGCATTGTATCCCCCTTCCCCGCCAACAAATTCTTATTTGGAACAAGCTATTTTTTCACTTCCCTTCTGAAACAAATTGACATTTTTTTCAAGAAATTTAGAATCAAACATTTTTTTGGAAAAAAAAATGCTCCATAAAAAAGATGAATGGTAGCTGTTTTTTTTTTAAATTATATGACAAAATATATAGGTAAACTTATTCTTTAAAAATAAAAAATGTAAATTTTTATAAAATAAATGCTGTAATAATATATCTTGGCTAATAACAGTATATTAAATCAATATATGTGGTCTTAACAGTAAACATTATCCTTTTAAATAAAATATGTAAATTTTCATAAAATAAATGCTGTTATAGTATATTAAGGTGGTACCTAACACTACAGGGAGATAACTCTGTAAAAATCAACTAAACGTTTTAATCACGTTGTATTGTTAAGGAAATATTAAGCTTCTCAATGATTAAAATTAGTGTTTGTCAAACTGCAATATAACCAGTGAAATTTTTCTGATAAAGTGGTTGGTTCAAATTATTTGAAATTTTTATATTTTTGTCAAAGGGTCAAAGTAAACATTTTGTCAAAATTTTAGGAAAATTAAACGAGCCAAATTAATATAAGTCAAGGTGTTGGGTACCACCTTAAATGAAAAGGATTTCAATATTTATGGTCTTGACAATAAACATTTGTCTTTGACAGTCGGTTGGTAACAATAAACATTTGTCTTTGACAGTCGGTTGGTAACAATAAACATTTGTCTTTGACAGTCGGTTGGTAACAATAAACATGAATCTTTGTCAGTCCGTTGGTATCATATCTTTAACTTTGACTGTACCATGGTAATTTGTTGATGTCTACATTACCACCACACAATATAACACCGATATTCTTTATACTAGGGTCCATGCTCCGTAGTTTGTCGGACATCGCTGCAGCTACTGCTGCCCCAGAAGCTGCTTCTATAACCAACTGAAATAGAAATTAATGGCCCATCAATTGAAGTGTTCTGTAGATTCCTTCATTTTTCGTGGGTACCAATTTTTCGTGAATTTAGAAAAAAATTGTATTTTCATGGATATTTGAATTCGTTGGTTTTCCCAAATTCTACATAGATAAATGAAGAATGTGTCCATGGGACACAGATGGTACCTCTGCTTGCATATACCTTTTTAAAGGGGCATAACTCGAGAATGGTAAAAGTGACACACCAAAATTTGTGTTTTGTGGTAATAAGCATTGTGTATAAGTTTCATAATATTTGGTTGAGGCAACTTGAAGTTAGAGAATGGAAACCAATTTTGGGACGTAAGTACCGATAAATAATGGTGACACTTAATGCACCTTCTGGTGACGGCAGGGGGGGGGGGGGGGGGGGGGGGGGCGGCATAAAAATTGATACTTCGCTCAACATTTAAATTCCTGATTTGGTCATGTGAGAAAGTCTTTTGTAACCAATGCAGTATTTGATTATATGTGAAGAAATGTAAATCCATATTACTTTATATTAAACTATATTGTGGGCAGAGGAAGCACTAGGTTGAAATGTTGCACCAATCTAAAATAAACTGCTTTGCCGAGTGCAGCTGGATAAAACCACAGAGTTCCAACCCTGAACAGTAGGGGCAAAAATGGACACAATATTCAAGCTTGATACAGGTCTGAATTTGAATTGTAATTAAATATTTGACACATTAAAGGTTTCTGACACAGAATATATGTAGTCAAAGAACTTGAAATTGGTTGTATGATTTGAATTTATATTCAATTGAAGATTTCTTGCTGTTGTGCAATACACTGTGCTGTTGCGCAATACTTAGTAAATCTGTTTTCAGACCTAATACAAAGAATTAGCAAAATAAATTGTGACCCCCACAATTGGAAAATTGACAATTTCTTAAATCTTGAGGAAAAAAAAATGGACCCCCCAAAAAAATTTTTTTTTTTACCCCCTCCAAAAAAAATATTTAAAGAGAATTTTCTTTTGAGGAAAAAAAATTGCCCCCCCCCCCCCCCCAAAAAAAAATTTACTCCCCTTCCAAAAAAATAATTTTCTTTTTGTAAAATGTGGTACAAATTTTAAAAGAGACATCCATACACTTAAACACAAGTATTGTCTGAAAACTAGAAAAATGCTTGTTTTAGACCCTTTTTTGCCCCTTATTCCTGAACGGTTTGGGCAATTACCCCCAAAATGAATCCCAACCTTCTACCTTCTACTTGTGGTATTGAACCTTGTGGTACAATTTCAGAGCAATCAAAACACTTATACACAAGTTATTGTCCTGAAACTAGAAAAATGCTTGTTTTTGCCCCTTTTTGGCCCCTAATTCCTAAATGGTTGGGACCATCACCCCCAAAAACAATCCCAACCTTTCTTTTTTGTTACTGAACCTTTTGATTAAATTTCATAGAGATCCATACACTTAAACTAAAGTTATTGTCCAGAAACCAAATGTCTTCGGACGACGCTGACGCCGACGACATGATACCAATATACTTGCAGTCGTATAAAGAAATCAAACTTTTAATTGAATATGGAGAAGTATATAATTTCATATCTATAAATGTAGAAAATTAAAGTGTGAGTGAAGATTTTCTAATTACCTTCATATGCTGGAAAGAGAACTTCATTCCTTCTTTCATATCTTCATCTTTCTGTAAAAATAAAATAAGTAGCTATACATGTATAAAAAATAGTTACTAATAAGCATAATTTAGCCTAGTGTTGTAAAAATTTCATCAAAAATCTCAGAATTTCACTTACAGGCTTGTATAGGTTGCACTTTGTAAATACAGCTGTTTCACAAACCACGCCTCTTTTGGGGAGATATATAATATTCATAGATATTTTGTTTTGTTTGTACTGGTTCCCAGATATGATCTCTATGCTTCATCTCATAGAGACATAACTTGGGAATGTTACCAGTATAAATACACATGGATAGCGGCGAAATTGAATTCTGAGAAAGACCAGAAGAGAAGGGAGGGGTAGTAAAGAATTTTAGTATAAGTTTAAACTCTTAAAAGTTCGGGACATATAAATCTTGGAGATATGCCCACGCCCCACAGCCTTATGTTTTAAACTTTGAATAAAATAGTAGTGCATATCAACTTTCCATCCTAGGATATAATTTTTTAAAAACTTCATAGTAAAAGTGGCACAGTTTTAGCCGTAAAGGGTTTTCCTATGGGAAATTGCATTGTCTATATTTACAGAAGTGCAACCTATAGACCAATCTCCATATAAAAAAGGAGACAACTATCCACCCAAGTTCAAATGAAGTGGATGTATGCAATTATAGGCAACCGTACAGCCTTCAACAATGAGAAAAACCCATACAATATAGTTGGCCATAAAAGGCCCCGACATGAAAAATATGAAACAATTCAATTGAGAAAACTAACGGCCTAATTTATAAAAAAAACAATTTAAGAAAAACAAACGACAGACATGAAACGACGACAACAACTCAAGTACAGGCTAGTGACTTGGGACAGGCACATAAAGAACATGGCATGGTTAAACATGTTTGTGAGTGCTCAACCCTCCCCCTAACCTGGGACAGTGGTGTAACAGCACAACATAAGAACAAACTATAAAAATCAGTTGAAGAAGGTTTTACTCATCAGATCGATACATTGCAGAAAAACTTCAAACAAACTGGACATGACAGGGTATTTATCCATCCCCACAACAAAAAAGACACTAAGTATAGATCTGACAGTACTTGCAGTTACTGACAGCTAGTTCAAAGCCAATAACAACTAATAAAAAAATCATAAATCAAAGACTAAAACAGTTGGTTTTTATGAATGAGTTATATTGACTGACCTAAGGTCAATGACGTCATTGAACAATCTATTTTTACTGTGACGTAATAACATAAGCATTGTGACATAGGAAATGTACGGGAAACTGCATGAATTTTAAAATCGTCTATTATCCACAAAATAAATATCCTAAAAATGATGGGTTTGTATTATTTTTTTAGCTTTGCTAACAGTTCCTATAGCTTTTAACTTGTTTTAATTCTCCTTTTTGTAATTAACCTGAACAAAGTCAAAACGTTACTGAATGGATATCTTAGGATGGCAGCCATTCATATTTTCAACTTGCCTTAAATTTGTAATCCTCTGGATTTTCCCAAGGCAATGCATTAAAAAAAATGCCCAGCTACCCACTAAATATCTCGATATCTTTTTACATAAAAAAATCTCAAATACAATTTTGCCAAAATATTTTTGAGTCCTTATTATTTCTACTTCACTTTTATGCAGTTTGAAAAAAAAAATTTCCCAATGCTAAATAAAACAAATATTACTCAAAGTACTGTTTTTTTTTAAATTTTGCTTTGACTTTTGTCAAGTGCTTGTTTTAATTTTGTGTCAAAAATAGAATCACCACATCCATTCTTTTCAAATCTATTTATTTCTTAACATATTTTTCCACAATGCTGATGTATTATGCCTTCGCCTTTAAAATGACTTCATAGATTTTACGAAAGTGTTGTTATTTCAAATTCAGTAATTTCTTTCGCAAACACTTTTACATGACTTACAATTGTGAACACATCTTTCTCCACCAGATCTAACATTATTGGGAAGGTCAGATGACCCAACTGTTGTAGTCTAATACCATCGGCTATTGTGCTTAAAAATCTAGGTGGATTAGGCCAAAGTCTTTTACCTGAAATAATTATACAAAACATCAGCAACAAACTTAAGAATTCATTTTTTACAGATTTTGCTGTAACGTTTCAATAATTTAGTACCATAATTACATTCTCCTTTTAAAGCATTCCAGAACATATTGTTATTTTTTTCACAAATAAAACCAGATCTATCAACAATGTACACAATTATTGTAAGTATAAATAATTGTAAACATAAGGAACAAAGTCTGGTCATCTTAACATCAAATTTCAATTGCAAAATAAATTAAAAAAAAACATCCAGAAACTGAACATGGCAAAACTATATTGAAAGGGAAACACATGAAACTAAACTGCAATTTATGTCATAATAAATTAATTTAAAAAAAAAATATATGGGCAGGATCAATTATTCAATTAATAAAAGTATATGTATAAGAAATAATACAAATCACTTCTAAAAAGAACAAGCATTCTGAGAGTATTGCATGGCAATACATAGTCCCCTACCGGGTAAAAATTCATTATACTGGAACAAAATGCTAACTTGTTCTATAACTTGTCTTGATGTAAACAAAAAGTAAATATCATGTCAATTTCTTCAAGCATGACTAACACAGTGTGGAAAACTGATTATATGAGTGAATTTTTCAAGTCCAAGGACCATAACTCTGCACAAAATTATTAGACCGAAAAAAAAATTTGAACTTGATCTGTAACTTGTCATGATAAACCTATATACTAATTATTAATCAATATCTTATAAGCATGATGAAAAAAACATTAGATATGATTAATAGTTCTCTAAAATTAGATATGATGTAATACAGTGTATATCTATTTTCAAATTATAATCAGATATAATTAATAGTTCCAAATATTTTTTCTTTCATTTGTCACAAACTAATATAGATTTGTAACTTATCTATAAAATGTCAACAACTTTTATCTACACAATGTAATGTATTGAAATATATACATTAATAAAAATAGATTATTATTTAATTAAAGGATTTCTCTTCATAAATTTTTGTTATATATATAGCATTCAGAAAATTAGTTTATACTAAATAACAAACAAACCTGTCAAAAAATTCTTCAAATAATTTAACAAAGAATGTCTTTTAAAAAATGAGTTATCTCCCTTTGTACAGAAATATGGTTTAACATAGTACTCTAAAACTAGATATGGTCCGGAGTTATGGTCCATAACTCTGGACTAAATCATCAGACCAGAACAAAATTCGAATTTGATCTATAACTTGTCATGATAAAACTATATACCAAATATCAAATCAATACAGTGTTCTCCCCAGGCCGTTTTAGCGCTGCGGTATTAAGCGCAATCGCATTTCAGCGCGTGGCTATTGGGCAGACCGCAGCGCTATCCAATCAGATATCAGCGCTATTGTTTTTCAAATTTCCAATGTTTAGCTGTATAATTTCGATCACGTGATCAACTGGGGATTTGTCGGAGATCGATTATTAACCTTTCAAAGTCCGGTCTCTAAAAACACCGCAAAGGACCTCCTTTGTGCACAAAGGAGCACAAAGGACCACAAAGGAGTTTGATAAGTGCACAAAGGACCTGAAATTGTTTATTAAATGGGGGGAAAGACATTTCTCACGAAAAAAATATTAATTTTTATTAAAATACTCGAGTTAAATCGGTATAAAGTTGAAGATTTACGAAACCGTGTTCCGTAACCGGTACGGATATGCATAAGATTACGGCCATTATCGATAAGATGTTACTATACCTATAATTATATATTGAAAAGTATTGAGAAAACATGAACATATAAATAAAGACTGGACATTAAACCGGAGAGAAAAAATTAAGCTAACACTGTTTGTAAAGATTTCAATTTCACAATTAATAAGTTTTGTATAATGAGGACTTGATTGCGCTTGGGATGAACAAAGCGTTATATATTTTTTACAGTTAATTATCAGCGTTCAACGACCGTCTTTAAAAACAATAACATTGTTGAAAAAAACAATTATATGTATTAATATATTAAAAAACAAAACAAAAAAAACTTCAGACATATGCAAAATATACAAGTTTTCTAAATATAGATCTTACAAGCGTCGATCAAAGACGTCTTCTATTAAAGTTAAAAAGATGAGAAATATAAACCATTTTACTCAAAATTTTATCAGAAATAAAATTATATAAAATAAGAGAGTTCTTCACTGAAACATTCAAAGCTATACAAATTCAACATGAATCACTCTCAATACAGCTGATGACACCATGCATAGATTTCGACACCAAGTCCAATGAACTTTGTAACAGCTTTCCGTGTTTTGTCAATTATTATGAGATAAGACTTAAAAACCGCTTGTTCAATTATGTTAATCAACCCAATCGCAAATATGACTCTAACAGACTCTGGACAAACAATAACTGTGAGTCCATGAACCACCGGTTTAAGGTAGCACTGAACTGGAAACCTCATTAATTACCAGAACTTTTAGATAAAATTTACAATGTGATACAACTTCACCACACAGATTTAAGACGCAGTATAATTGGCAACGGCAATTATGAACTTTTTGGAAATTTCAAGAAACACAGAATACAACATTCCAAATGGCAGAGTCTTTCCCAAATTGAAAAAGAAGTGCTTTACAGGGAGCTTGCCAGTGACAAAAAGTTTAGTGACTATATGTTAAGAGCGGCAAATGGTTTTGCGATACCGAAGGTTAAACGTCTCGCCAAGAAGCCTGGTCAACGTCACCGGCCAAGGACAGCTGCAGTGAGGACAAAACCAAAATTTTAAATGTTATTGTTAAATCATATGTATTTATTTATCATGTTTGTTTTATCTTAATAAATCATAATTGGAAATATAAAGTTTTGACTTTCTTATACTTCACTTAAAAATATTATCATACGTAAGAAAACAAAGTAATGATATATGAGACAACAAAAAACAACAACAACACATTGCTATCCTATATAATTTTCGAAGTTTTGGTAATGCTTTACCCTTAAAAAATTACAACAATAAAATATCAAGAATAATAATTGACATTTTTATCATTTATGTTAATATATTCAAACTATTTAAAAATTCACATACACGAACTATCACTTAACCCGGATATAAAGTCGGTTCCAAACCGATACCGGTGATAACTAAAAATCGTACATTATTAACCTAAAATCGCAATTTTTATTGAAATTGATTTTTTTTTTTACATTTTTCTTCGTGAATTATAATATTTTTTATGTTTTGAAATGAATTTCAGGTCCTTTGTGCTCATATCAAACTCCTTTGTGGTCCTTTGTGCTCCTTTGTGCACAAAGGAGGTCCTTTGCGGTGTTTTTAGAGACCCTTCAAAGTCTAATATGGGAGGGATCAGTTCAATGAAAGAACAAAATGGCGTCATTGGCAGATCTCGAACTGTCAAAAAGAACTATTTATTTCCCCGAGTTTTTCACCTTTAAGAATAAAAATAAACTTCATGAAATAGGTGGATAGTGCTCAATCAATCATTCCCAAAGTATTTAAGGAAAGGTTTACCCTTTCTCTGACAACGTGGTCTTCCGTCTATTTTTTCAATCATTTACGATTATTTCATTACTGTTTAGTGGTTAGGGGACGACCATTTGATATTCTGGGGGGGGCCAGGAGGATTTGTTTTTGATCGGTTATTTATTTTTGTAAACTAAGAGGACAGATTATCTATTTTCTGCACTGTTGAAGCAAGATTTTTCATTTTCATTAAAGCAAGGGACTGATTATTTATTTTCACAACTATATTTATAATATTTGAAAACACTCAATTTTTAAATTCATTTTTTATTTTAAATAATACATGAATAGTCCAATCATTATGTACCATTTAATCAGAATTAATCATCATCATCTGTAGAAATGAATCTTTTGAATTCCCAACTGCATATACATGTATTGCATACATACAAGATATTAAAGTTTGGCTGTAATTAGTGTCTTTTAAAAGTATTGCAAATCATTTATGCCGAGCGGAGCGAGGCTAAAAAAAATTTGAAGGGTTTTGGAGCCGCTGAAGGCCCCAAGTTGCTATAGAACTAATGATGCAAAATGTGTTTCCCATACCCTTTCTTAATCTGAAAATGAAAGTTCTGTTTTAATCATTTTTTGACAATATTTTGGTCTCAAAGCAACATGTATAGATTCAGTGTAAGACTTAAGTTTTAAGGAACAACATCAAAAGACAAAGATAAAGCAAAAATTTAATTCACATAGTTAAGTTTGTGGCTGCTGTTTTTTTTAAACTCTTGATCAAGTTAATAACAAAATTACTAAATTACAAAAGGAATGCAACACTAACAGAATACAGAAGGGCAATCAATGAACAAAAGACAAATAAATAAGAAACATTGATCCCGTAAAAACAGGAGCTACGTCTGAGGGAGAACAGAACTTGCTTCTTGCAAGACACTTGCCGTGAAAACAATTTGATATGAAGACAAGCTTTTGGTTTTGAAATTTCCTACATGAGGCATTTGCCTGAATGTAGTTACTGCCATATGTAATAAAAGTGAGTTAAGTGTTCCTGAGACAATATACCTCAAGTTAAATGAAACCCATTTTTCAGACATTTCAAGAATTTTAAATAATATTTATACTTTTATTATTCAAAGATTTGGGAAGTGATTCCCGATTTTTTTTGAAAAAAAAGTTGAATTTTATGAAGAATCTGGTGCAATCTCATGCTCTCAAATAGACCTGCCGAGTTATTTATTTTTAATACATTGCAAGTCAGGTTATTTATTTTCAAACTACCACAGAACAAACCATTTATTTTTGTGATTATCAAGGCTGAGTTATTTATTTTCAAAATCCTCCTGGCCCCCCCCAGAATATCAAATGGTCGTCCCCTTACAACTAAACTGGTGAACCTTCATGGCTTGAAGGAAGTATTCCCGATGTCCAGGGATTCATTACAATCCCGTATTTTACGATTTTTTGTCCTTGCATCGTTTTTTTTCAAAATCGAATAGAGGATAAAACAAACCAAAATCGCATAAATAAATTCAAATTATTGTGTTATGCCATGCAATTATCAATAAATGTCAATTAAATGGGATTTTAAAATTAATATTAACAGGGGATTGCTTGGATATGAAATGGCATTTAATGATAAGTAGAAGCATCCATTTGCTCAAAGTTTAAACAGGAAGTGAAAGTTGTAGAAGGGAGACAATTTAGGCGGGAAAAGTACTAAAAGAAGTACTGTCAAATCTTGTCAAATAATTTTGGTGGCAACAATTCAAACATTTATAAAGTTATCAAACACAACCTTTAAAATGGTATTTATGTTTGAATTGGCAAATATAATTTTTCATTCTAAACTACCTTAAATAATAAACAAACATCATTAAACAAAATGAGGTTTCTATTAGATGCATCTTGGAAGTACATGTATGTTAGCCTTTACTTAAACATGTCTGCATTAACATTTAATTATTTATAGAAAGGGTGATCCACTTTTTCCTTTGATATGAAATAAAATACTGATTTTAGTTTTGAATTTTTAATTTGAAAGATGTAAATATTAAAAAAAATAAATGAAAACAGTCCAATTTGGCCATTGGGAACTTTTTAAACTAGTGTCAGTTAATTATGAAGCTGTTAAGGAAATGCATAACTAGTTAATTTAAACAACTAAAAGTAAGAGAAAAGGTATACCTACTGTGCTACATTGTACATAATCACTCTTATAAGAAAAGATGGAGAAGGATATTAAGTAATGAAATCAAATTATTAAAATTATCTAGGCATTTTAATTAAAAGCTTAATATAATAAAAATGCAACTTATTTTCATTTGTAATATTGCATATATATATATATATGTATATTAAAATGCAGGTCTTTTTCTTTTTAATAGAGTACAACCAACATGGCTTGTAAGTAAATGTAACATTACATAGCAAATGCGAAAGGTGAATCAATCTTATATCGCGAGCTTACCACAGCGCTATAAAAAAATCCTGGGGAGAACACTGCAATATCTTCAAGAACGAAGAAAAAAAGTGTGGAAAGCTGATTTGCCAGACTGACGGATGGACAGACGGACAGATGGGCAGACGGACAGACGGACGGAGTGCAAACCTAAAGTCCCCTTCGACTTCGTCGGTAGGGGACTAAAAAGAATAAAAACAAAACATAATCAAATTCTGATACATACCCTCTTTAAGACATGATTCAACCATCTTTCCTTCTGGCTCTACTGCAAACACTGTGAAAAATAATTAAAAAAAAAGAAAGAGGTACAGATTCATGTAGCATTCTTATGAATCACAATTTTTAATTACTAGTAACTAACAATTTTCTGGCATTTATTATAGATGATCATGTAATAACAATTTTGTTACCATTACAAATAACAACAAAGTTCACATAACTCTCTGAAGCTGTTCATTATGTATAGTAAATGTTAAATGTTTACAAATATAGTAAACATTCAAAGTGACAACGGATTTTTAATTCAAAGACATGATGGTTAAGATTCCAAGTGTGTGTGCTGGGGCGGATTCAGGCGCGGGTGTGGTAGGCGTGCCTCCCCCCTAAATTTTGCAAAGCATGGGTTTTCCTCAGCTTAATAAAGAATATTTCGATAATTTTACCTCAAAAAACTTTCGCCTCCAATCGCCAAAAAATTTAAGTTTGCACCCCCAACCTAAAATCCTGGATCCGCCCCTGGTGTGAATCTTCAAATGAAGACATATGTATCCTGCCATCTCTTAATAATATAAATATAAGCAGTAATAGCAAGATCTATGTTTTGGCATAGGAAACCCTATATTTTTTAAACAGCAGGTCTGTACAAAATTGATAGAAGTATGTAAAACCATTTTTTTTATCAGTAAAAAAGTAAGATGCTGAAAACATAAAATGAAAGAAGTGATCCCTATAGTTCTCTACAGCTTTCCTGTCAGGCAACATGATAAAGGTTGTAATGCTTGCTGATGAGTGATCAGTTTCTGCTCAATCACTACTGAATAAGAGTCCATTAGTCTCTGGTGGATAATTGTTTCATGGCAATCCTACCTCATCTCTTTATTTTTCTATATTAACAAATTGATTGCTCTGTGAAACTGCAGTATACTTGCATTTGGTATTTTCAATCAATAAGCTTAAGAAATGTTGTAATATTTTTACTGCATAAATGTCATAAATAATGAAATTATGTTATATAACTTATATTATTCCACTGTATATTAAATTTGATAGCTAAATCAATGTTTGATTGGTTGAGACCATTCCACGTGACACTGAACAAAACTTCATATTCCCCTCTGAGTATCATATTCCACTCTGAACATCGGGACTTGCCCGTGCGACGTTACGCGCGGTTAATATAAGAAATGTTTTGAACGTTTTTAAATTGCGATGGTAAAGTCACTATCGTGTTCAAAATTATTTCAGACGTAAAATAGATAATTATCTTTTGATCGGCACTGTTTATCAATGTTTTAAATTATGTCGTGTTTAGTTATGAAAACAAGTGGTTAAGAAAAATGTATATAAATTATTGTTTTATGTTCAGTTACTTGGTAGTAAACAAAGTATAGGCAGTGGAATAAAACATTCATTTCCCTTGACTTAGGGAGATATGAGGATTTCTTCACCCTCGAAAAGTCATATTTCCCTCGGGCGGGGCCCTCAGGAAATATGAATTTTCTTGGGTGAACAAATCTTCATATCTCCCTCAGGCACGGGAAATAAATGTATAATATCTTATAGTGATACACAAGTTTTCCTTTCTATGTAAAAATTCTTTAGTTTGTCTATGAGGTTCACTTTTAATAATTTCTTTATTGAGGCACAGATTACAAATCCACAGCACTGAAATAAGACAGATTAACTTTATAGCTCATACCTTTAACATCTTCTTTGACACTTTTAGCAGCAATAGCTATCCCAGAAATCATACCACCACCACTTATTGGTACCAGAATAGCATCTAAGTCTGGTACCTGCTCCATTAATTCTAAAGCAAGAGTGCCCTGAAAATAAGCAAGGAGTTACATAATTTCAGACGTAACTATTCAAAATAAGAGGCCTCACAGACAGATTAAACATAGCAATTTCTATCGAAAGGAATATCACAGAATGCCGTATGGTGACCTACAGTTGCTAATTTCTACATCATTTGGTTTCTGGTGGAGAGTTGTCTCGTTGGCAATCATACCACATCTTCTTATTCTTATATCACATAAGTAAACTCAATCATCATAGAAATAGATTCAAGAGTTAGATCGAATTATAGATTATCCTGAGTTGATAACAATCTACCTTTACCTCAATGGTCCGGTGGTCTATTGATTATGTAATTTTCACCATCTACCTGTACAGATTTGACCTATCACTACAAGTTTGAGGTTTTCCATAAGTTGAATATAACAAGGTGCAATCCAATAACAATACAGACAATAACCAGAACATGATACTACTAGTAAGATACCCCTGAGGTCAATGCGGATTACAGCAGGTGCCTGGTTTTCTTCACTGATCAAAATAGTAGCACAGAAAGCGCCATTAATTATACTTCTTCAAATATACATATTTTAACAGAGATAATTTAAAACAAATTATTTTACTAAGAATTCTTTATCTTTGCAAAGAATAAAATACTTCTTTGTATGAGAGATGACCTTCACCGAAAGAATTCTTTTAGTTTTCCATAATAGCATTATAGATTTTTTTGTTCTTAAAATAATATGATTAATCACATTATCAAACCATTTGATTTTCTAAGTCAAGTATTTCTGTGGATGTAAAAATGCAAATGGATTTATGAATTAAAATGCTCTTCTCAGGTAGAGAAAATATAAAGGACATATTTGTTCTTCTAAATTTTCACAAAAATGTAAGTAAATGTGACGTCAATTTACTAATGTTTGATCAAACCGGAGATCTACTTTGTCATTAAAAGAATGATAGAATAATAGAATAACAAATCCAAGAATTAAAATATAGAAAAATATTCAACGAGGGGCCATACAGCACATTAATTCACGAATGTGTGTAGCATTTGAGTTAATTATCAGTGTTGTTCTGTCACAAGTTCAATATATTTTAATATTTTAGTTCTAGGATTAGTTATTCTTTTTATTACGTTGACCATGGACTTCTTAATGAAAACAAGCATTCTGTGAGTATTGCATGGCAATACATAGTCCCCTATCGGTTACAAATTCATTGTAATGGAACGAAATTCTAACTTGGTCTATAACTTGTCATGGTGTAAACTATATAACAAATATCAAGTCAATATCTCCAAGCATGACGAAAAAAACTGTTGAAAACTGATTATTTAAGTGAATTTTCTATGTCCAAAGACCATAACTCTGCACAAAATTATCAGACTGGAACAAAATTCCAACTTGATCTGTAACTTGCCATGATAAAACTATATACTAATTATCAAATCAATATCTTCAAGAATGACAAACAAACCTACCACTAAATTCTTCAAAACAATTTACTAAAGAAAAGGAAAAAAATCCAAAATATCATTTTGTCTTTTAAAAGTCTTTTAAAAAATGAGTTATTTCCCTTTAAACAGAAATCTACTAATTAATAAGTATTTTATCAAAAATTGAATTCCAGGGAAAGGGCTTTAACTGAACAAAGAGAAAAGCTTAAATCGTGAAAATTGACCATGAGCTGTAACTTGTCATGATAAATCAATAAACCAAATATCAAATCACTATCTTCAAGCATGAAGAAAAAAAGTCTGGAAAACTGATTTGCCGGACTGACAGATGGACAGATAGACGGACGGACGGACGGACGGACGGACGGACGGACAGACAGACAGACAGACGGACAGAGTGCAAACCTAAAGTCCCCTTCGACTTCATCGGTAGGGGACTAATAAAGTGTTGAAAATGAAAGGAACTAGATTTTTTTTTATGAATTCTCTATTGTTTTGATGCAATGTTATCGACAACGTCTTGACAACACCCATTTTTGTGTGACATCAGAGGAGTGAAATGATCAGATTTATTTCACATGTAAAATTGTCAGTTTTTATTTCACTGGGAAATCACGGTAATTCATTGCAACCTATGTAATATTTAAATTTATGCAATAATTTGTCTGCAATGTCAGTGTTATATGAGGGGCGTAAAGGGGGGGGGGGGGGGGTATCTGCACAGAAGAACACGAAATAAAATTGCCATTTCACGATGAACGAACAATTAAAAATTTCTTGCATGTTGATCTTTTTACCGATTTCACGAAACATGGTGAATAACGAACCTTTTTCATGGCTGCACGTAAAATAAAAATGGCAAAACATGTTGCACGTAAATAACCCTTTACCACCCTCTTATATATTGAAATGGTCTATACCTGTCCTGCAATCACATTATAATGGTCATAAGGTGGAACAATTTCTAATCCTTTCTCTTTGGCCATTCTGGCACATGTTTCCTCCCTAAAAAGAAAACTTTTTATAAAATGATTTTACAAAAATGTTTATAAATACATGCCCAAAAATTAATCTTTTCCATAGATAGTTCATGTATACTATAAAATATGGTTTATAAATAAGTACTCATCAGATATAATTTTGAAACTCTCCAATCTTCGGACATTGTTAAAAAGATTTACATTTTTTCGTCTTTAGATATGAAAAAAAAATCATCTAATTCTTATTCATTTATACCTTCCCACACCTGCTGATTAATTTTTTATAATACCTTCCCACACCTGCTGATTAATTTTTGATAATCAAATTGTAGTTCTGTTGTTCTCAGTTGTTCATTGGTAAAAAAATCATCAATGAAGTCAAATTTTCTTGCTTCCATTAATTTTACTATTATGATGTAACATACAAATTTGATCATACCTGATGTCACAGGAAGAACACAATACATTTATTTATAGATGGTGCTGTTATGATTATTGGTTATTCAAAATTTTCAATTAATCTTATATATTTAATAATAATTGATAGTCGACAAAGATAAACAATATCTGTTAGTTTGGGTATTCCACTTAAAATACTATATATATGACATGTACAAGTCTGATGTAAGGAAAAGTGTGTTACTAAATTCCTATATCATTTGCTTACAAATTTTAACAAAACTAATTGTAATTAAAAATAGAATCGAAGCATGCTGTGCCACAATTCTAATTTTTCTGTCTATCCCCCACACTATATATATATTTTTTGCAGATCTTTGAAAAAGAATGTTTAAAGTTTGTCAACATATTTCTATACTTTTTGTCATTATATATTCATAGTCTAGAATAGATTTCACCATTATATCACATGCCATACACAATTCTCCACTTTGGACAGTTAAATTTACTTTCAAATGTACATTCATTTCAGGAATATTTGTTCAATGGTATTTCAGTGAATAGATATACATGTAAAACAGATACATTTTTATTGTAAGTTCCATTTCAACATGTCAAAGTTATAGCCAGAAATATAAAAATCTGTGACATAATCCAGTTACTGCAACTTGACATTTGCTGCATTACCTGGTGTCATCAAGCCTTGCATTTTAAATTTGAAAATTCAATTCTAGAGTAGGAATGCAGTGGAATCTATATATACAAAATATATATAAATTGCCTAAGAATCTAATTTTAACACACTTTTTAGTATGTAACTATTAAAATGTTAAAAATATTTACAATGCGATAAAAAAATCAATGCAATATTTTGTTAGACAAACTAGCTTCATTGAGCATGCATCTATCCAGGTGAAATCGGATGCAGATAAGAAACTTGTGCAGCTCATTGTACAGTGAATTTTTGCTGCTATAAATAAATTCAAAATTTGAATGATGTTCAAGATTATTTATTGTTGAAGTTAAGGTAAGTTTGCAACGTCCATTGGCCAATATAACAGAGATGTTAAGGACGATGCTACATAATAAATTATTCTTTATCTTTCCTGCATCTTTTCTCGTCTTTTTCATTGAGCCTTTCAGATTCTATAGTATAGAGCTGGTGGATCCAAATGTTTTCTCTTCTCCTTTTCGCCGTGGTGTCCCACTCAATGTTAAAAAAAAAATATAAATATATTAAACTCGGAATTTATCAATATATTCAAATGCTTCCTTAATGTTTACTATATAATACCTGTCCTTTGGAGTAGGTTCACACCATACAAGTTCAGCACCATAACCCTTTATTGCTTCAGCCTTAGATTTGGGTGCATTGTTAGGAACCACAACACAGCATTTAACACCAGCTGTTTTAGCTGCCCAAGCTAAGCCTTGTCCATGATTACCACTGCTGTGGGTTACCTGTGTAATAAAATTATCTTTTAATATAAACATGAAAAACTTTCATTAATTAAAAACGTTTTTACAAATGAACTAGGCTATTGATACCAAGACAAAATTTTAGAAAATAAATTATGTAAGGAATATGCATCTGGCCTTACAATATATCTAACATTATTATATGATATTATTTGCTTTATATGTTTTAAGATATATTTAAATGTAAATTAAAATCAAGTGTCTATAACAAATTAAAATAAAATTGAGAATGGAAATAGGGAATGTGTCAAAGAGACAACAACCCGACCATAGAGCAGACAACAGCCGAAGGCCACCAATGGGTCTTCAATGCAGCGAGAAACTCCCGCACCCAAAGGCGTCCTTCAGCTGGCCCTTAAACAAATATGTATACTAGTTCAGTGATAATGGACGTCATACTAAACTCCAAATTTTACACAGGAAACTAAAATTAAAAATGATACAAGACTAACAAAGGCCAGAGGCTCCTGACTTGGGTATATTTATACAAGAGGAAACCCTGATGAAAACAAATTAAAAATCTCATAAAATTTGATATCAACACACAGAAATAAAAAATAACCATGAAATAATGGTTATATAAACAGACATTAAATATTAATAAAACATGCATAAAGGATAAGGATTTCTCTTCTATTATTTCAATTATTTTTTTAACCTTTTATTTAAAATAAAAATTCATAGTAAATATTTAGCAAACAAGTAGCTGATTTATCAGGATTGATATTTTTAATAATGTTTGATTTCCATGGCAGATCTTTGTTATTTTCTTTGTAATTTATTCACAACTCTTTAGTGCTTTGCATAGTGTATAGACACCTGTCTTAGTTTCTATTGTTGAAGACTGTATGTTGATATCTAGATGTCTTTTGGTTGTTGGGGTTGTTGGGTTGCTTGATGTGTATCCCTCATCTCCTTTTATTCCTTAATAATTTATTCAGAATAAAAAAGAAATATAACATGCATAATTGTTTGAAAAGAACAAACTATTCAATGAAGGAAGTTATGAAAATTAATAGACGTGGAGGCTAGGATAACTAATGCATAACTAGTCTGGTCAGAAAACTATTTGACTACATGTGAATCTTTTCAAAAATGTTACAACTAATACAAAGAAAGTTTCAATATTCCATAATCATGATAATGGGCATCAGACATGTCAGATAAAACATGACGAATTAAATCAGTAGTGGTTGCAAATTTATACATCATTAACAGCCAAGCAGACACCCCTAAACCAGTCATTTTGCCACATTGGAGATTGCTACTTCATTGTAGATGTATTACTATATCACTGTTACTCTGACATTTTGCAATACTGTAATTTTTTAATACATTCTTAAAAGAAGAAGAAAAAAAACTTACAACACCAGGTAATGCTGGATTCTTTTCTTTTAATAGTAACACCTGAAATGACATCACAAGTCTACAATCTAGATTTTCTTTTATAAGTTACACCTTAAATTATGACATCACAAGTCATAATTACAATCTAGACAAAACAAAAGAAAAATAACGAACATTATGACCTTTTGTTTCACATGATCCTGAAATACGTATCAGGCAACCTATTGGTTCAACTGAGCCTGAACTACTTGTCAGACAGCCTATTGGTAATGGTTTACCTGATCCTGAAATACTTGTCAGGCAACCTATTGGTTCAACTGAGCCTGAACTACTTGACATATAACCTATTGGTAATGGTTCACCTGATCCTGAAATACTTGTCAGGCAACCTATTGGTTCAACTGAGCCTGAACTACTTGTCAGGCAATTAACCTACATGTAATGGTTTAACTGAGCCTAAACTACTTATTAGGCAACCTTCATGTAATGGTTCAACTGAGTCTGAGCTACTTGTTAGGCAATCTACATGTAATATGGTTCAACTGAGCCTGATCTACTCATCAAACAAAAAAAGCCATTTAGGTTATGAATGCCAAGTTTTTTCAATAAGTCTACCTTAAATTTGATGACTTTCTATTTAGTATGAAAAAAAGAAGAAAGTGAATTTGATACATTTATTTTCCTAATCAAACAATTTTCATTGTGAAGGTTAAGAGTCACTCTAGAAACTAGGTGTTCCATCTTGAAACAAAATTTCACATGAAATCATTTTTAAAAGTTGTTTGTAAAAGTGGATTGCTCAGTAGTACAAAATTTCAGAATGTGTCTAAAACATAAATTTTCCTTAAAAATCAATCTTTCATACAGTGGTTTCTTCATGTTTATTTACCATGTTACTTTATATGTTGTATTTCATTTCACAGTTTATTCTTATTCTACTGGCCATCCTATCTGAGAACATCAGGATGGCCTGAGAACATCATAAAAGTCAATCAGCAACACTCTAGATCAATATGTAAATCAATAAAGCTATATATAGTTGTAACACAGACATTTGCAAAAAAATCAGAGAACAAACTGTGATTGGAACTCTCAACATACATGACATATTGAACTGTCAAACAGTAGAAGGGTTTCAGGAGACTCTCTTAAATATCTTGTGACCAACAATTTAATTCTGTATACACTCAGTTCTGATTAATATATGTTCAGTAATGAACTACTTTTTAAACAGTATTTTACAGATGCTAGTTAGGAAAACTGGTAAGACAGACATATCTAAGGATTTGTGCAGACCACATCTATCCAAAATGAATATGCTATAAGGACTATTAGATGGGTGTCACATGTGGAGCAGGTTCTACTTACCCTCCTGAAGCACCTGAGATAACACCGGTATTTGGGTGGGTTTGTGTCACTCAGTTAGACTTGTTTGTCAGTTTCTCTTAGAAATATGAGTTTTGAATTTTTCCTTGGTATCTTCTGCCTCTATTTTATAATCCTCAGTTTGATTTTTTATCGCTCCCTTGGCACTGGTTCAAATAATTATGACGTCTTGAAAAGCGTCACAGCAAAAATTTAAATTATCCTTTGAAGACGTCATAATTATTTGGACTACCTTGGCACAGCTAGCCTCTTTTTAAGTTTGACGGGATTTGCTTCTCTTAGCACATGTTCTGTTCTGTTCTGTTCTGGTATATTCCTCCGTTTTATCGGAGCACTCCACTTATCGAATGAGTATTAAAATTTTAAATACTTAACCGAAAAAGCGGATATTTTTATATTTACGATATGAAAATATATAATTTTAAAATAAAATTAGTTAGTTAAAGTGAATAAAATAAAAGTTTATAATGTCTTTGATGATATTTTAAAAGATATTAATAAAAAAAAAATTAAAAATATTATTCACACGTTACAAATTACGGCACTTTGATTCACCAATATGAATAAATAAAAATTTTACAACCTAACGATTTCTAGTCAATAGGTGCCCTGCCAAGGCAAATGTTAAAATTATATAGCATTATCTTTTATGCTGATATTTATAGACTGAACCAGTTAGCTTGGCATCCCATGCAGACTGTTCAGACTATTTTTAATATTACTGTTATATTTTCATGTCACTTGATATCACATAAAAGTTGTGTACGCTTCATGTGTAAATGGTAGCATAAATCTTGTGTCTTCCTTTCTATATCTAGCAACTTGTCTATTGGTTGATTACTCATTATGTCTAGTGCTAAATACTTAGTCAGCTATAAGCGGTTGAGCTTGGGAAGTACTTCTTTAACTCAGTCAGTTAGAGTGCTGCCTTGTAATACAGAGATCCCGGGTTTGAGTTCTGGTTAAGACAATGTGATTTTGTAAGAAGAATCATGCTCTCCAGTTACATTTACTGTAGTGCAAGTCTTTAAAATATAAATTTATGTAACCTAGTCAACATAAAAATATCTTACAGAATTTAATGCACCTCTAGCTTTAAAAGAGCCAGTTTTCTGTAAATTTTCAGCTTTAAAAAATGCTTTTCTGCCAATTAACTTGTCAAAGGTAGAACTAGTGAACACTGGAGTATGGTGAATGTATGGTTTCAAACGTTCATGTGCTTTCCTAATGTCTGTTATCGTCGTCCTGATTGCTGATGCCATTTTGTGTAGAAGGTGTTAACAGGTGCAATATTTCTACCTGTCAAAAGTATCTGTTTACTTAAGTGGAGTTATCTTTCCTTAGGATGGCACTTTTTTAAGACATTCGGACCTCTTCCGAGTTTTCATTAGTCTTTAATGATAACCCTAGAGGATGCGTTTTGTAAACAATATGGAGGACAACATTCCAAAAAATCATTTGAGCTCAATGGATAGTAAAAATAGGGCGTTTTTGAAACGACGGAATTCAGACTCATCCTGTTGAATATACAGTTAACGGATAGGACATATTACTGGAGATCTTTGGTATAAACTGATCGCTTAAATATGTCGTTCTGTCCCTAGTCGTTCCACCAAAAAAAAAAATAACCTATCCTACAATAATAAAAGTGTATAAGGTATTATTTATTGTTGCAATAAAACAGTGTATATGATTTGTTCTTAAACCAGAAGCTTTATTCTCAGAAAAAAACTGTCTATCTGTTCAATGAGGATTGATACTAAGTCAGCTTATCACTGAACTTTGTTTACTGTGACAGGATAAATGATCCCCAATAGATGACTTTTCGAATTCGTGCACTTTCTGGTACATTTCCTATGTCACAATTCGTATGTTATTACGTCACAGTAAAACCCAATGGTTCAATAACTCAGCTTGAGATTGGGATTTTGACTCGACAGCAATTTTCTGATTTAGCCGCCTCATCAGAAAATCGCTCCAGACTCGTATCCAAAAAGGGATAAGGTGTATTGGTGCTTTTTCAAGGAAAATTTGACGGCACAAAGCAAATATCTTTATGTCACAATGTCCTATGACGTGTTTTCTCACGAATGATTGACCAGGGCAGTTCATTCTTAAAATAGATATTGGAATCTTGTGTATTGCTTACCTAGCTAGCTTAGCTTGCATAGCAGATAGCCAGCCATAAGCAGTTGAGCTAGGGAAGTACTTCTTGTTGTGAGGCTTTTGGAGCACTGACTACAAACACATACATGTAGGTCCCAGGTATCAAGTCTCAGTGGTGACATTGTGATTTTCTAGTAAGAATATATCATGCCCTTCAGTTACATTTGACGTCCTGCCAGAGGTACCAATATGTAATTGGACAGCATGATTTTTACAAGAAAATCTACTATACAAGGGAAGAAATCCTGTCAAACTTTTCATACCTCAAGATTCATCATACCATTATGACTTTCACAACACAACCCTGGCTAGATTTGACCTCTTATCACAGTACATGCAGTATGAGCATGATTCTCATCAGAAAATCACATTGTCATCTTTGTGACCCTGACTAGGACTACTGTGTTCAAAGTTAGCACTCTAACCCACTGAGCTATAGACGTACTTCCATAACCTGGCATACATTGTAGTACAAAATGTATCTGCTACTCAAGGGAAGCAATCCTGTCACATTTACCAATATTCTCAAGTCCAGTTATTTTGTTCCTCAGTAAGTCAGTTCATTTAATTGACATGACATTCAATGAACCACCTTACTGGACAAATGGAATTACAGATCAGTATTGTACTATTAAGCACTGCTTATGTTCTCATAAAATTTTGGTGTCACAAGATAAAAATATCTGAAGCCACAAAGTAAAATTGATAGTCATGATAGTTGTACAAATGTACATGTATGATCATGATGATGCTAAACGGTAAAATGTCACAATAATTCAGGTCAAATTTGTGATGTTTTGCTTTCCTTTGCTAAATCAATAGTGTTGTCAAGTGATTGGATACTGCTGCAGTCTGTCCCAATACATTTGTAGTGCTGAAATGCAATAGCACTGAATACCACAGCACTAAAACAGCCTGGGGAGAACACTGTCTTACCTAGGAGATTAAGTTTTAGGTAGAAGAAGGTAGAATCTCAAAGAGCTAAAAGTATCATATGAAATTATATAGATACATGTATAAGGAATACCACCAGTAGTTTTACAAATATGACAAATAACCTTAAGGTGCCTATGCTAGATGAATGCTGTCTTAAAACCAGAATGACAGAATATTTTATAAAGTTGACTGTAACTTCATTTTCATACCATCTTAAAATTATATTAACTCATAGTAAGACTAGACATCATCCATATACATTCAAACACATATGACTTAAAAGCTGCAAAAAAAACCCCAATAGTCATGGTTTTTTCCTCATCATTCAGTAGAAAATACCACCAATAGTTGCAGAAAAGCCAACCACATTTGACAGTATCACACGACCACCTCATAAATAAAAATAAAGTATGACTGCCAATGAGTCCCAACTATCCACCAGAGACCAAATGACATGGATGTAAGCAACTATAAGTCATCACACAGTGACTGCCTTCAACAATGAGCAAACCTTACCATATAGTAAGCTATAAACATGACAGTAGATTTAGGAACATTTGATCCTGATCATAAAATCTTACTACAATGTACTTAAAAGTATAGGACCTCCGGATCCTACAAGAACACAAAATTTGGAAACTTTATTAAATTGATTTTATTTTTTCAGATTTTTGATTAAAAGACAAAATGGCTGAGATATTAGGCAATGAACTGATTATTGAGAGTTTGCGGAATGACATCAAAGATTTACAGTGGGCAATCAGTGACATTGTCTCTAGAGTGGGACCTGTTGAGCAACCATCTTGGAAATTCCCTGACAAGAATTCTAGTGACATTGACATTAACTATTTGTTAGAGTTGTATGATTTTGATGATGAAGATTCGGAGGGAAGTCAAGTGGCACATATTGCTCTGTATGAGCTTGTTATTGATAGGTATGATATGTCAGAGGGAAGTCAAGTGGCACATATTGCTCTATATGAGTTTGTTATTGATAGATAGGATATGTCAGAGGAAAGTCAAGTGGCACATATTGCTCTGTATGAGCTTGTTATTGATAGGTATGATATGTCAGAGGGAAGTCAAGTGGCACATATTGCTCTGTATGAGCTTGTTATTGATAGGTAGGATATGTCAGAGGGAAGTCAAGTGGCACATATTGCTCTGTATGAGCTTGTTATTGATAGGTAGGATATGCCAGAGGGAAGTCAAGTGGCACATATTGCTCTGTATGAGCTTGTTATTGATAGGTAGGATATGTCAGAGGGAAGTCAAGTGGCACATATTGCTCGGTATGCGTTTGTTATTGATAGATAGGATATGTCAGAGGGAAGTCAAGTGGCACATATTGCCCAGTTTGAGTTTGTTATTGATAGGTATGATATGTCAGAGGGAAGTCAAGTGGCACATATTGCCCAGTTTGAGTTTGTTATTGATAGGTATGATATGTCAGAGGGAAGTCAAGTGGCACATATTGCTCTGTATGAGCTTGTTATTGATAGGTAGGATATGTCAGAGGGAAGTCTAGTGGCACATATTGCTCTGTATGAGCTTGTTATTGATAGGTAGGATATGTCAGAGGGAAGTCAGGTGGCACATATTGCCCAGTTTGAGTTTGTTATTGATAGGTATGATATGTCAGAGGGAATTCAAGTGGCACATATTGCTCTGTATGAGTTTGTTATTGATAGGTAGGATATGTCAGAGGGAAGTCAAGTGGCACATATTGCCCAGTTTGAGTTTGTTATTGATAGGTAAGATATGTCAGATTGAAGTCAAGTGGCACATATTGCTCTGTATGAGCTTGTTATTGATAGGTATGATATGTCAGATTGAAGTCAAGTGGCACATATTGCCCAGTTTGAGTTTGTTATTGATAGGTATGATATGTCAGAGGGAAGTCAAGTGGCACATATTGCTCTGTATGAGCTTGTTATTGATAGGTAGGATATGTCTGAGGGAAGTCTAGTGGCACATATTGCTCTGTATGAGCTTGTTATTGATAGGTATGATGTGGATTCATATATATATATATATATATATATCTAATATAATTGATCATAATTACTATGAAGAAGACATAAGATACAAATAAAAGAGACATTTGTTTAGAGAAGATTAAACACAATAAATGTTATTGTTACTTAAAAATAACACATTATACAACTAATTTATCATAAATGGTATATATATATATATATATATATGCACTGTATCCGACGCGCTAGACCGCACGACCACCTAGGCTAGGTGGTCGTGTGGTCTAGCGCGTCAGATACAGTGCAGGCGATTTGGTGTCACGATATCTCAGTAGCATGAGTTCACTCCCGGCGAGGGAAGAACAAAAAATTTGCTTACGCAAATTTACAGATCTAACATTGTTGGGCTGATGTTTAGACGAGTTGTATATACAGAATGTACACAGCCATGTATCACCATCACTGCTGGTGATCCGATGGATAAATCTGTTGTAGAGTTGTCACTGGTTCAGACGTACTTATAGATATATATATATACTGTATAAAATGACTGTGTTGTGATAACACAGCTGAAAATCTACTTCATTTTTTTTTTGCCTGTGCTACCACAGTATTCATGGTATTCACTGTTTCTTTGATAAATTACTCTTGTTTTCTACTTTCTACTACAGTGGCATAAATGTTCTCTGTCTTAAAAATATTCAATTTTTTACCTTAATTACTAACAATAATTTTATTTCAGATTTATTTACTTAGTTCAAACTTTGTCATCTTTTACAAAGACAATGTTAAATAGAGCAGGAGAGGAGATAACTGATTCCAGTAGTTCATCAGTTGGACTGGCTGTCAAGCAGTACTGTAATAAACAAGTCCAGTTACAAACTGTGGTTCAACAGACTATGTCAGATGTAAGTCATATAATAGATGAAGTAGGGGATTGGAAGGAGTTTTTATTTTCAATAGTCAAAGAGACTGTACTTAGAGGTCCCCAAACTTTGTCAATAAAAGTCTTATTATACAAATATGCTGAAAGAAACTGGCAAGTTGGAGGAAAATGCAGGATACTTGTAACTTTTATGTCAAATAATAAATTTTGATTGTTTGATATTTTTTTTGTTAGGTTGCTGTCTTATTGATGTATTCCCCACATTTACGTTTATTCATATATAAGATACAAATACAAACCATATATTAAACAGGGTTCCATTTTTCAAAATATCTGAAATAAGCACTATACACTCGTATGAATGAATATTAAACATGTAAAATGATCATCATTCATGTATTGCACACACATGTAGAGGTCGAAAATAAAATGACAATATATATTGTGAATGTAAGAAATTTATGAACATTAATTATTATGTGTTTGGTTTAATAGTAATAAAAACCCTGAAAATCTGAGTCATTTGTTTCCAGTAAAATGATGGAAAGTTTAAGATTTTTTTACTTTCATAAAAAAGTGATTGACAATTTTTTTGCATTTATAATTCTTTAATTGCTTTATTATACATGTAAGTAAATGCTTATAAAAAGTAAAATAACAAAAATACCGAACTCCAAGGAAAATTCAAAATGGAAAGTCCTTTATCAAATGGCAAAATCAATAGCTGAAACACATCAAACGAGTGGGAAACAACTGTCATATTCCTAACTTGGTACAGGCATTTCCTTAAAGAGAAAATTGTGGATTAAACCTGGTTTTATAACTAGCTAAACCTCTCACTTGTATGACAGTTATATAAAATTCCGTTATATTGACAACAATATGTCTGCAAAACAAACCGACATAATAGATTAATTAAAGAATTTTTAACTACATACAAGACATCAAAGTGTCACCTGTTTCAGTCTATAAGTTATAGTTGTCCATGTAATTATATATTACCTGTCAAAATTTGAAACACCATTAAACCTCACAGCTGGATAAAATAAAACACCACATTGACTTATTAATTAGCAGTTAGCATAAGTGAACATGATTTGACGCATGTGAAACAATGCTTTCATTTTTCAAATGTATTTTTTTGAATTGTTTGATAGAACATGACTGGTGTTTATTTAGGTGGTATTCAAATTTTTGAGGTACAAGTACAATGTATGCACTTTTTATGTTTAGTATAGTCATATCTGTTGTCAGATGATATATTTGTATATGTTTATTTGTGAATAATTATGTTCTATTTTCAATCAGTCCAATAAGAATAATTAAATAAGGTGTTCACAAAAATAATTATTTTGTTCATACAATTTTTACAAATCAAAATAAATTGTACAGTACTTGGATCTGACAATTACATGACTTATTAAATACAGTTCTGAACATGTCATTATTATTAAATACTAATTTTCCTTTCATTTTAAGATAAAGACGAAAAATAGAAAATTGTCAGATTTGGAAGCTAATATGAAGAAATTAACAGAGGACTTTTCTACCCAAAGTATGACCAGTGCATCATCTCATACCTCACTGATAAGTGAAGGGACAGTACCCAGTAAGTTTGGTAACGTAACAACTGGATATCTTAGTCCAATCAAAATGGAGGAAATAGCTAGAGAAGCTTGTAGTAAAAATACACAGACTGTTGAAACTGCATTTGTGCCGTGTGAAGCTTGCCATGTTGTACAAAAGTCATTTAAAAATGCAGGAGATATTTTGATAAATATGTGTCAAGCTCAAAAACTGCCATCGTCTTTACAGAAGTACCGTCCCTTGGTAGCCGATGTTAAATGGTTATCTGCAAATGATGTGATACGATGGGCATCTGAGCAGAACAAAGATCTGGCTAAATTGACTAAACACATGGACAGTCTGATGGCTACCATCAACCCACTAAAGGAGGAAATTGAACAGCTGGAAAAGAAATGTAAACATTTACAGAAAAGAGTGTCTGAGTTTGATAGTGATATGAGAAAAGAGAAAGAAGTGCAATATGCTTTACAAAAACAGTTCGATATAAAAATAAAAGATTTGGAACAGAGTCATAATGAAACTGTTTCCATAGTTACTAGACAGAAAAATGAAATTTTACAAGATAAACAAAGCTTGGAAACTGAAGTGAGCAAATTGAAAACACATCTAGAACAACAGCAGAAACTTCTTATAGAAATAGGTAAGATACATGTACCAGAAAGTCTATGCTTTCCATAACCTCTTTATGAAAAATATCTAGTTTGTAAAATGGGTATCAAACAAATGATCCATTGTCTATCAAATACCTAGTCTTTACTATTTTTCGTCTGCTGATGGCTTACTGAAATAAGAGAAAATATTAAGTTGTTTATAATCTATAATGATATCCTTAAGAGGTAAGTTCATGTTTATAATCTATAATGATATCCTTTAGAGGTAAGTTCATGTTTATAATCTATAATGATATCCTTAAGAGGTAAGTTCATGTTTGTAATCTATAATGATATCCTTTAGAGGTAAGTTCATGTTTATATATCCTTTAGAGGTAAGTTCATGTTTATAATCTATAATGATATCCTTTAGAGGTAAGTTCATGTTTATAATCTATAATGATATCCTTTAGAGGTAAGTTCATGTTTATAATCTATAATGATATCCTTTAGAGGTAAGTTTATGTTTATAATCTATAATGATATCCTTTAGAGGTAAGTTCATGTTTATAATCTATAATGATATCCTTTAGAGGTAAGTTCATGTTTATAATCTATAATGAAATCCTTTAGAGGTAAGTTCATGTTTATAATCTATAATGAAATCCTTTAGAGGTAAGTTCATGTTTATAATCTATAATGATATCCTTTAGAGGTAAGTTCATGTTTATAATCTATTATGATATCCTTTAGAGGTAAGTTCATGTTTATAATCTATAATGATATCCTTTAGAGATAAGTTCATGTTTTCAGATATTGGAAAAGGACCCTCATTGGCTTAGAGGTTTTGATACATAACCATTACATACACAAATAAAATTTATATTACTTCTCTCCCAAGAATTGGAGGCTTGCCGTGGTTATAATTTCTCAATTTCTATAAAACTTCCACATTGACAGATTTTCCAGACATAGCCATAGGGAAGTCAAAATGTTTTTCAAACACTTGACATGTGGTTCTTGCATTTGATGTTTTTGAAGTTTTAAAGATAAAAGAAAACAATAAATTGAAATTTTGTGTAATGAATTCCATTTGAATAAAGAAAATATAATTTCAAAGATGTTTATCATACTGTATGAATATATATTTTACCCCAAACGCCAACTCTGTTGCTACCAAAATAATTCATATTCTGATTTATCATTTAGAAGATGATAATATGGTTCATAGAATTATTGTTGATTACACTGTATTAATTATTGTTGTTTATATTTCCAAAGAAAATACAAAATCAACACTTGAGAAAGACCTTAATGAAAACAAAGCGAATGCGATATCAACTCTACAGGGTGAGATAAACCAACTACAAAGTAAACTGTCTGATGTGACACAGAGACTGGATGTGTCATCTAAAGAACTTAATAAGGAACAAGCTAAAAGTAGGAGTGCATCTAAACACAGTCAGGTAAATACAATATGCAAGTCTAAACAACATTACACAGACACATCCTAAAGAACTTAATAAGGAACAAGCTAAAGGTAGGAGTGCATCTAAGCACAGTCAGGTAAATACACTATACAAGTCTAACTGATGTCACACAGAGACTGGATGTGTCATCTAAAGAACTTAATAAGGAACAAGCTAAAAGTAGGAGTGCATTTAAACACAGTCAGGTAAATACATTATTCAAGTCTAACTGATGTGACACAGAGACTGAATGTGTCATCTAAAGAACTTAATAAGGAACAAGCTAAAAGTAGTACTTTATAAGGAACAAGCTAAAAGTAGAACTTTATAAGGAACAAGCTAAAAGTAGTACTTTATAAGGAACAAGCTAAAAGTAGTACTTTATAAGGAACAAGCTAAAAGTAGAACTTTATAAGGAACAAGCTAAAAGTAGAACTTTATAAGGAACAAGCTAAAAGTAGAACTTTATAAGGAACAAGCTAAAAGTAGAACTTTATAAGGAACAAGCTAAAAGTAGAACTTTATAAGGAACAAGCTTAAAGTAGTACTTTATAAGGAACAAGCTAAAAGTAGAACTTTATAAGGAACAAGCTAAAAGTAGAACTTTATAAGGAACAAGCTTAAAGTAGAACTTTATAAGGAACAAGCTAAAAGTAGAACTTTATAAGGAACAAGCTAAAAGTAGTACTTTATAAGGAACAAGCTAAAAGTAGTACTTTATAAGGAACAAGCTAAAAGTAGAACTTTATAAGGAACAAGCTAAAAGTAGAACTTTATAAGGAACAAGCTAAAAGTAGTACTTTATAAGGAACAAGCTAAAAGTAGAACTTTATAAGGAACAAGCTAAAAGTAGAACTTTATAAGGAACAAGCTAAAAGTAGAACTTTATAAGGAACAAGCTAAAAGTAGAACTTTATAAGGAACAAGCTAAAAGTAGAACTTTATAAGGAACAAGCTAAAAGTAGTACTTTATAAGGAACAAGCTAAAAGTAGAACTTTATAAGGAACAAGCTAAAAGTAGAACTTTATAAGGAACAAACTAATGTAGGAGTGCACAGTCAGATAAATATGATGATGATGATGAATGGCTGATTAACTTCCAGTGGCAAATTCAATGCATATTCAGGACGAGAACATGTTAATGCCATATGAATATTAATCCTGCTTTGTACCAGAGAGACACGCTGATCCAGATTTTTAATTAGCCAATTCACAAGGTAACAGTCCGCAGGAAGACATGTCACCCTACCATGATTCTTTATTCAGATTCTGATACCAACCAACCAGTCTTTGCTCTTACTCCTTAATGCCACATGCTTAGCAGAGAAGCAGCAAATGCCAGGTTTCGATCCATGACCTTCTGCCCTTGAGACGAACATGTTACCATGAGACCACCATCTAACTGAGAAAAGGCATTTGGAAGCCTTAGTCATAAAAAAAAATTTAACAGTAGACAAATGTATATATACCTGTATATGATATTTGTGCTCTTACTCCTAAATGCCGCAAGTTTAGAGAAGACGCATCTAATACCAATTTTTAAGTCTTATGTTTTTTTCCCCAGTCGCAGATAGAACCCACACTTCCATTGCTGCAGACAAGCACAGTAACAAGAGACAATGAGGCAGTTCTCTCATTTTGCTTATTTATGAAGGCTGTACAGTGAATTGTAGTTATTTAAATCCTTGTTCTTTGGTTCTAGGTGGATAGTTGTATCATTAGCAATCATACTACAGCTCCTTATTCATAATTATATTTCTTTTCTTTTTATCAGAGTGTGCAGAACAAACAAGGTTCTCTTCTTCAGAGAGTGGATGCATTAGACAGGGAAAATGAAGAATTAAAAGATCAGGTGGCCACATTAGAGGAGGAGAAAGAAGAGATTGAAGAATCCTTGAAATCTGCCAAGAGTCAAGTTGACAAGCTTCAAAGAAATGTTACTGAAAAAGAGGTATACACACTGCAACAAATTATTACAGGCATTTTAATTTAGATACTGTTCTCTCAGAGTATGAAGTGAAGGCACCCAAAAATTGAGTTAAATATTCATGGAAACAAAAGAAGATTCCAATGGGGCAATAAAAATCTTGAGTTGAAGAAAAATTTACTATACCATGACCAAAAAGACAAACCGCAGAAAGACAAACACCAGTCTACAGAATGCTACACAGAAAACTTAAGATTGAGAAACATGAACCAAATAAGAAAAAACAGGGGTAAACTCAAGTGCACCTTACCAGAGTTTTTATGAAATTTCTTTTGGAACACAACTTGTTTGAAACAGTAAGCTACCCATAGATGTGATTTCTGATTGCCATAACTGGATGCAAGGTTTATTTTAATGATGCAACGCATTGCAGGGATATAGAAATACAGGGACAAACATCTCTCCTTCCATCTGTCCGTATGTCCATCTGTATGGTCTTGTAAGCACTCTCACATATACAATTCTTGACAATTATCCAGATTGTATGAAATTTATATCAAATATTTTATCATTGATGTCTGGAACAAGTTTTATAATCAGTTTCAAAGGAGTTATGCCCCTTAGAACTATAAATTATATTGAAAGTTGCATTGTAAGGGCTCTCAGGCCTACATTTCTTGTAGGATTGTTAAGATTAACATCAAATTTTCTAATAAGCAGAGTCATGGACAAATTTATAAATCAGAGCTGATCAATTATTTTTACAGGGGTTTTGTCCCTTTAAAATGTTCATTTTTAGTCAGATTTTTATGAAATTTTTACCAAAGGTTAATGTCAACAAAGTCTTTGAAGACTACAGACCAGTTTATTTTACTGGAGTTATGCCCCTTGAAAATAAAACTTATATGGAAAAAAATTGTTAGTAATCTCATATAAAAAAAATAGATGTGGTATGATTGCCAATGAGACAACCATCCATCAAAGTTCTAAATAAAGTGGATGTAAGCAATTATAGGCAACCGTACGGCCTTCTTATTTATACATTGTGACTTGGATGGAGAGTTGTCTCGTTGGCACTCATACCACATCTTCTTATTTACACATTGTGACTTGGATGGAGAGTTGTCTCGTTGGCACTCATACCACATCTTCTTATTTACATTAACCCTTCAGATTGATACAAAGCAGAAAAGCATCTAACAAAAACACAGAACAGGCATGGCAGGGTATTTATACATCTCTCACAACAAAAAAGACACAAAGTACAAAACTGAGAATAGTATCCTTTTCTTCTTGTATAATATTTTTGAAATGATTTAAAAGAACCCAAAAATATATATTTTTTATTGCACTTAAACAGATGAAATATGTACATCGGGGAGAGAAATTGGAATGCTGTCTTTTTTAGGTTTTTTGGGGGTTTTTTTTGTTGTTGTTTTTTTTTCAATTCTTTTTTATTTGGAATGCTGTTCTTTTATTTTAATTAAATGGTAAGCTCTTAAATAGGGTTTGTTATTGCTCAGTCTTTAGTTTTTTATGTTGTGTTTTGTGTACTGTTGTTTGTCTGTTGGTCTTTTTCTTTTTTAGCCATGGCGGTGTCAGTTTATTTTCGACTTTGAGTTTGAATGTCACTTTGGTATCTTTCGCCTCTCTTATACATCGATGCTTAAAAAAAATAAGCAGTGAGATAATGGCATTAATTTTAATAAGATAAAACAGGGGAGACAACTCTTTAAACACATTTCATTGAACAGTTTTGCATGACATTAAGATTGAAATGGAGTGGTTTATTTTAATGTCTGACCATGATTCCATAATAATTAAGAACTTATTTAATTTAAAAAACAAAGACATTTTAAAGTTTTCTTTTTATCTGCAGGATATGATAGAAACTGTAACAAGAGAAAAAACAGAGTTAGAGGAGTCTATTACAAGCTTACAGCAGAATATTAATATGTTAGAGACAAGGATACAAGAGTCTGCTGATAGGGAGAGATTGATGATTGAATACCCAGACTTAAATGGACCTGTGAATCCTGATCTCAATGGTGAGTATAACCAAACAACCGTTTAATCCTGATCTAAATGGATAGTATAACCTGACTTAAATTGACCTGTGGATTCTAATCTTAAAGGTGAGTATAACTAAACTTACCTGTTAATCCTGATCTTAATGGTGAGTATAACCAAAGTACCTTTTAATTCTGATCTTAAGGGTGAGTTTAAACAGACTTACCTGTTAATCCTGATTTTATTGGTGAGTATAACCAGACTTACCTGGTTAATCCTGATCTTAATGGTGAGTATAACCAGACTTACCTGTTAATCCTGATCTTAATGGTGAGTACAACCTAACTTAAATCGACCTGTGGATCCTGGTCTTAATGTTGAGTATAACTAACTTACCTGTTAATCCTGATCTTAATGTTGAGTATAACCAAACTACCTTTTAATTCCGATCTTAATGGTGAGTTTGAAAAGACTTACCTGTTAATCCTGATTTTACTGGTGAGTATAACTAGACTTACCTGTTAATCCTGATCTTAATGGTGAGTACAACCTAACTTAAATCGACCTGTGGATCCTGGTCTTAATGTTGAGTATAACTAACTTACCTGTTAATCCTGATCTGAATGGTGAGTATAAACAGACTTCCTTTTAATTCCGATCTTAATGGTGAGTTTAAACAGACTTACCTGTTAATCCTGATCTTTATAGTGAGTAGAACCAGACTAACCTTCTTAGTCCTGATCTTACTGGTGAGTATAATCAGAATTACCTGTTAATCCTGATCTTACTGAAGAATATAACAAATCAAAATTAATCTGTTAATCCTGATCTTAATTGTGAGTATACTCAGACTTAAACTGACCTGAAAATCCTGATCTTACTGGTGGGTTAAACCAAACTTAAATGGACCTGTTAATCCTGATCTTAATTGTGAGTATACTCAGATTTAAATGACGCTGTTTATCCTGATGTTACTGGTGAGTATTACCAAACTGAAATGGACGAGTTAATCCTGATCTTAATGGTGAGTATATTCTGGCCTCAATATACCTGTTACCTATCTTTACCTTTACCCATACCTTTAAATAAACTGGAAGAACATTTGAATTTAGGTATAAAGAGGAAGTTAATTCCAAATCTCCTGAGGTACAATGAAAGGAATTTTATTTCAAATATCATTATATTAATGCTGTTCAATAGTGTCTACATGATTAAATGTTAACTTATATTTCTCAACTTAAAATCATTGTGTGTAAAATGAGATTAGATCTGGAGAAATGGACTAACTTTGGAGTACTTTACATGTATTATTTCACACTTTTTTTATACACTGCTCTAGGACGTGACAAATTATGTTATACCAATGTCTGTCTGTCTGTTTACACTTTGTAGGACAAATCAAAATTGCTTTAACCAATTCTCAAGTAATTTTAAAACAATATTGGGATTAACAAACGAAAGCTCCTTTATATTTCAAATTTTTTGGCTTTGTCTTTCCAGAATTATAGACTTTAACAGTTTGAATTTATGCACTTTTTCAAGTTTAACTCTAGTATGCCTAGATTGTTTTCCTCAAAACTTTACATTTTTGTAGAGATTGATTTGGTTTGTCGTTCCAGAATTGAGGACTTTAATTGCTGGATTTAAGTAAATTTTTCACTTGTTGTACCATAACCTGAGTTTGCTTGGATTGATTTACTGTTATTGGTTAATTGTTGAAATTGGTGAATGTAACACACCTTTCAATAAAAAAAACAACAACTCTGATATGTCATTCCAGAGTTATGGGACTTTGACTCATTGATAATTATAACGCATTTTTAAATGACATGCACTAACTCTAGTATACTTGGATCAAATTACTACATAATTAATACAGTTGTTTGCATTGGTGAAAGTAGACTCGCTTTTGCCTTTAAATATCCCATTCTTTTTTTCCAGCAGTATCAATATGCACAATAAGGGCATATCATGTGCTCTTGGCAAAGCTGTTTATCTTTTTTCTTGCCTCTTCTGAGTATGCTCTTCATACAGGATTGATATTTTTAAAAAGCAACAAAAAGATAGGCAAAAGTAATATGTTCATTGTAATTACCAAATGAATCTATTTTTAGGTACAGGTGACATTGCTTTGGACATGGAAAATCAAGTGAAGGCTAATGCTATTAGGATACAAGTACTAGAAGAACAAAATGAAGGATTAAGAAATTCAATCACAAAAGTTATGTCGTTACAACGGGGTAACTTACCAAAGGGACAGAAAAAGGTATATTAATTATACTTCTTAAAAGAAATAACCAGTAATAGTACATGAGAATCATTTAACAATTTTGGTAAATAAAAATACCAAGACAGGTAGTTCAGAAAATATGGATTAGAAATAGAGATGTGGGAAAAAAAATTGTTTATAAGCAGGAGTGAAAAAAAATATATCATGAAAAAAAACTTAGCACTGCCCTGGAAGAACCAGCTGAGGGGTTTTGGCTGTAACCAAACCTCACGTAGATTTCATGCGCCCCCTTCCCTTAAATCCTGAATCCACACATGTATATTTATTAGAACCACAACAATTTTGACCAAGACCCTGAAATGCATTGTAGTTATTTGAATTGTGATTTGTTATTTGATGCTAGGTTATATCCTGATTTTATCAGTAACTCTGTGATGATGGGTAATTTTTGTTCTCTTGAGACATATATGAATGGGGACTTTTCAGTGAAGTATATTTATAATATATTCTATTTTTAGATGACAGCTCCCCATCAATTGTGGTCTACAGATAATCTGGACAGAGTAAAAGACAACCACAGAACAGAGGAGGATCATGTTTGGCAGCCAGAAAGGTACACCCTCTTTATACTGCAATTTCATAGTTACTTTAGTATATAAATGTATTTGTTACTTTAAACTTAGATGAGTCTTTTGTAGACAAAATGGGCATGTGGCTTACAAAACTTTAATTCTGGTATCTGATGATTTTATTTAGAAACACTGGGTCGATGCCACTGAGGGTGGTGGTTTCCTCCCTGAGGGTATCACCAACCCAGTAGTTAGTACTTCTGTGTTGACATGAATTGTCATTGATATGGTTATAACTATAAATTATCTTTTTACAAACTTTTTGAAATACTAAGGATTTTCTACCCCTAGGAAAAGATAACCTTAGCTGTATTTTAACAAAACCCTATCAGACTTTTGGGTCCTCAACGCTCCTTAACTTCGCACTTCATTTGGCCTTTTAAAGTTCTTTGATTCGAGTGTCACGGATGAGTCTTTTAATCCTGGTATCTTTGATGAGTTTATTTAGGAAGAGAGGGGATAAAGAGTGCATGAACACAAGGTAGATCTATTAAATACTTTGAAATCAAAATCAAAACTCGGGTGATTTTATTGCTGCTCTCAATCTTAAAGCTGCTGGAATAAATCAACTAGTTGCCAAACCCTACAGCAAGGTCAAATGTCTCAAGGGGGACTCACAAAATCCCATCTGAACAGCAAAGTCAAATGTCTTCCTAACAAGTACTCTAAGAACATAAGGTTATATATAATTGTACTTGACCTATTGATAATTTTTAGGCAGTTATGCTGCCTTATGCGAGCACCCTAGATTTGTGTTCTACCCAATAAATGCTAAAATACGTGCCATTGTTATTATCTAGCTGGCTATTATGTTATTTATAACTAATTGGACATTTTTTTAATACTTTTATTTCTGGAATACAAAAAATATGACCAGAAAAACCTTAAATGATCGTCGAACTACCCAAAACTTTTGAAGTTGCACATAGGAAGTAGTGCTCAATGGAAATCCGTACGTAGTTTATTATCCCCTGTGCTTTTGGCTACGATGTCAAAGAACAATTGTATGAAATATTTCATCGCCGAAAATTGGTAATTACAAGTCGTTTATATTTCCTGAATGGCAAAATGCGCAGGAATATTGTTCATGTACAACAAATCTCTATGATAGAGGAAATAAAGTTATATAAGTGGGTTGTAATTTCTAACTTATCTTGCCAAATAAGGTTGTTGTTAATTTATGAATGAAACGAGGTCATGAAAACAGATGCGGAAATCGACGTTGATGGGATGTTTTAAGTAATGTGGACAACTCGTCCCCGAGACAAGTCGGACCAAATCCACTCAAACCGTCTAAGAAGACAACTTTGACCGTTTGTCAGATTTACTTAGGGTTTCATAAAATATTAGACTAACATGTCTAGCGGAGCCATTTATCTTTTGTTTGTGCATTGGGGTCTATTTAGGGGTATTTGGAGGGGCCTGAAGAAGGGAGGGATTTACTATAGAACCCTATGGGATTTTATTTTTTTAAATTTTCAAATGACTATTTCTCGAAAACAGTAGGTGATAGACACATGCAGTCTTCAGTAATGAGAACAGGACAATACAAAAAATCAACCAAAATATAGGGTGAGTCCCTGGCGGTCATCCCAACCCCTTTCAATTTGAAAATGTACTTTTATCTTGTAAACCGTCACGATCCCCACCCCTAAACAATATATATACTTGAATGGGACAATAAAAGAAATCAAATGAAAATAATTTGGGGGAGTCCCCAGTGTCGTCCCACCCCCTCCTGTTTGAGAACTTGGAAATGGTTAAGATCCCAACCCCTAAACCATATATATTCATGTATGGGACAATATAACAAATCAAAAATGAAATATAGAGTGAGTCCCTGGGGGTCACCCCACCACCTCCTGTTTGAGAACTTGTAAACAGTCGAGATCCCCACCCCTAAACCATATATATTCATGTATGGGACAATATAACAAATCAAATGAAATATATGGGGAGTCCCTGGGGTCACTCCAACCCCTCCTGTTTGAGAACTTGGAAATGGTTGAGATCCCCACCCCTAAACCATATACATTCATGTATGGGACAATAAAACAAATCAAATGAAATATAGGGGGAGTCCCTGGGGACACCCCCGCCCCGCCTTTTTGAGAACTTGTAAACAGTAAAGATCCCCACCCCTAAACCATATATATTCATGTATGGGACAATATAACAAATCAAATGAAAATATATGGGGAGTTCCTCGGGTCACCCCACCCCCTCCTGTTTGAGAACTTGGAAATGGTCGAGATCCCCACCCCTAAACCATATATATTCATGTATGGGACAATAAAACAAATCAAATGAAATATAGGGGGAGTCCATGGGGACACCCCACCCCCTCTTGTTTGAGAACTTGTAAACAGTCAAGATCTCCACCCCTAAACCATATATATTCATGTATGGGACAATATAACAAATCAAATGAAATATTTGGGGAGTCCCTGGGGTCACCCTCCCCCCTCCTGTTTGAGAACTTGGAAATGGTCGAGATCCCCACCCCTAAACCATATGTATTCATGTATGGGACAATATAACAAATCAAATGAAATATAGGGGGAGTCCCTGGGGTCACCCCACCCCCTCCTGTTTGAGAACTTGGAAATGGTCGAGATCCCCACCCCTAAACCATATGTATTCATGTATGGGACAATATAACAAATCAAATGAAATATAGGGGGAGTCCCTGGGGTCACCCCACCCCCTCCTGTTTGAGAACTCGAGAAACGCTTGAGATACCCACACCTAAACCATATTTATTCCTGTTCATCATTTCAAAAAGATTTGAATGACATACAGGGTCAATCTCCTTGGTGTCACATATGCATATCACTTTACTAGACCAAACCAATATGAACTGGACTTTGCCCAATGTCAGGAGACCATGGGAATGACGAATTATGGGGGCTTTGTTTGGGAGACTTCGTAACGGCATCCTGTTACAATTATTTCTTGTTTATTATAAAAAAAATTTGATCCAAAAAATGAGTCTAGATTATTGAATTTACTTTAATTGTTTATTAAATTATTTCTGGGCCTATAATAATTTTCATTTATGGCTCATTTTAAAGAAAACATATAAATCTTTCAAGCAGTGTAAAGCCCGAGAATGTTTGACCAACTGTTTTATAATCACTTGTCATTTTATTCCAAACTTGGTATGGAGTAACATCATGCACTTGGGGGTGAAGATGGGGGTCATTTACATTGATATATGAGTTGCTTTTGAAAACCTTGATGAAATATTAATTAATTTCCCTTAATAATCAATTCATTTAATGAACATAAATGTATAATATACGAATGCTTAATGTTTGTTCATTCAAATCTTAAAAAAAAATTGAAGCAACATTGCCACAGTTTTCATAATTACGTTTGCCTTGGTTTTTGGTTAACTGCCTACAGCCCTTACAGTGCTTTGATTTGTCTTGTTAGAAGGTCTCTATTCTCTCGGGGCACGCTGGCTTCCTCCACCAATAAAGTGCCTGCCTAGAAATAGCCAAGAGTGCTGAAAGTGGCGTTAAACACAAACAATCAATCAATCAATATTCTTGTAAGATTACTTGTGAAAAAGGTTACAGTTGATTGGCAGGTATTACTATCTAAATTTGCAGACAGATATTCTTTACCTGATTGTTATATCAAGACCCAGTCTTCAGTTGTATCAATGTACAATATACAGTATTAAGTAAGGTTTGTATTGATGTAAAGAAATCTGGCTATAGTATCAACCAATTAGTTGATAGTATACACTTATTTACCATGTTTACTGGGTATGAGGACAAAAGGAAGTTTATTGTCACCCTAGACAACAACTATTTCCCGATGCAAAGTTGAGGGGGACAATAAACTTGCTATTGTCTAAATAGACAGTGAATAAGTATTTTATTTAACAGAAAGCACAGGAAAATGTTTGCTTCCAGTAAATAGTTTATACCCAGGAAATAGTTTTTGAAACTATTACACGGTAAATACCAGTAGTCTTTTTTTCAGACAATTTCGTAAAAATAGTAGTTTTACTGTCTATAATTTTATAAAGAAGGTACACTCTGAGATGTAACAAAATTTCCTATTGTGTAAATAAAATAGTTAATGTTATCTTGTTTCAGTTCAGTTTATGAATCAGAAAAGACAAGGCCTTCATCAGGCTATCAAAATAATTCTGAGAAGATCACAAACAGAGCTAAATATATTGCAACTGTCAAAACACAAAGAGATATAAACACTCCAGGGGATGAATTTGTTGTTGGAAAAGGTAGACCTCCTAGTGCATCAAAGAGAAAGGATGCTACTGGTTCCCGTCCTAACAGTGGGAAAACTATAAATACTCCAGTAAATACCAGTAGTATTAGTGCTTATTTACAGCTAAAGAAAGCAGGGAAACTGAATATGACAGATTCTCCTCCTAAAGATAAATCATGTAAGTTTTTTTAGTAAGATTGTATCTAGTCAATGGAAAGCCATAAGTCAAATACATTGTTTTTTTCTAAATTAGTTAGTATTTATGAAGAAGGAAATGTGGTATGGTTGACAATGAGACAACTATCCCCCAGAGTTCAAATGAAGTTGATCTAAGCAATTATAGGCATCAGTACAGCATTCAACGATGAGGCCCCTACATGAAAAATGTGAAACAATTCAAACCAGAAAACTAACTGCCTAATTTATATCAAAACAATTTATAAAAACAAATATGACAGACATGAACCAACAACAACCACTGATCTACAGGCTCCTGATTTAAAAAAATTCTGTTTTAAAAAAGACTTGATCCAGAAGATACAAAAAGTTTCAGTTACAAACAGGGGAAGGAAATCTAAAGATGTTGCTAAATTCTTAATGTTTTTTTAGTTTACCCTGATTTTTAAAGTATCTGAAACACTAATGAGATCCAAACCTTAAAAAAATTAAAATGGAGTTAATATCAAGATTTTAATTATAAATGATGAACATAAAATTTTTTGAAATTTTTGTATATGTCATCTTTATCTTGATATAACTGCTCATACAACATGTACAAATACATACATCATCTAGAAACCTAAATTCATCTCCTTTTTTTTAGATGCAGAATTTAATAATTCTAGATGAAATTTTGTTTTCGTATTTATTTTAACTTTATAAATTGTATTTATTACAGTTCCAACAAGACCAGTTTCTGGTAAACCCCACAGATCTCCTCCTGTACATAATGATGATGGTGAGGATTACACAAGGAAAACTAGTTACACTTGCCAGAATTGTGATAAAATGTACTCTAAACCCAAAGATTTAGATATACATATGTCATACTGCACAGGGTGAACGTTACTTCTACTTCAAGTTCTAAACTATCTCAACTGTGAGAAAATGTATCTGTAATGATTTTAAATCTAAAAATACATATTATTTATTGTTCATTGCAGGATGTTCTTTTGATATACTTGTGATAAGTGTCTGGATGTAATCTTATACTTAAGATACGAAAATAACTGTCACGCTATACAGATGGAGTATGCTTGTACATCAGCTTTAATACTTATTAGAACTGTCAAAAATACATTTCTGAAGTGAAAGTTCTTTTTATGCTTACCAGAAGTGAATGAACTCTTATAGCTAATCATACTATCCCAATTGAATAGTGCTTGAGATAATTGTCATCAGAATTACGATAAAGTGCTTTATTAGAGCTAGGGATATAGTACAAGTAATTCAAATGCTTTAAAATTACAATCCATTCCAGTTTTGTCTATTCAATCCTTGCCATAAATACTATATACTAGAAAGAAATTATTTTATCTAAACTACTTATAAAAACTCTCATTTTTTGTACTTGTGTGCTTTTTTATGCCCCAGCCTTAGGCGACGAGGGCATTAAAGTGTTACCCTTGACCTTCCTTTTTTCCGTCCTTCTGTCTTTCTATCCGTCCTATTTTCATTTGTTCGAAGCTTGAGTGAGGCCATTCGTGTCTTTAGACACAATCTTCTTTTATTTTACAATCTATTGAATATTTTGTAATTAGAAATAAATCAGGTAGAACACATATTTGGATTACAAGAGGTAACACAGTTATTCTCCTCAAATATAACTTGTTTGAGGTAACACAGTTATTCTCCTCAAATATAACTTGTTTTTGTGATTTATCCAACAGTAATGCATAGGACTCTATGCTCTAGATACATTGAAATGAGAAACCATACAGTCTGTACAATTTATTAATTCAAGTAAAGAACATCATGGACAGATTGATCCTAGAAACATAGAAATAGGATTGTAAATCAATCATTTGCTGTCAATGTTTAGCCTATTTCACATGTTAGAACCTGTTACTTTTTTATCGTTATACGCTATTATACAGATCTATAATAAATAATAAAACACAATTACATCCTTCTATTATACTGGTTATTGTATTGCATGACCGTGGATAGCAGTGGCGACACATACAGGTCACTTCTGTTGTCATCTGTGTCTTCGTCTGCAAAGGAGTAGGCCTGGTAAGACCCCTTTTTGGCCCCAAATTATAGCGTTTTTACAAAGTTGTTCAATTGTAAACCTTTAGCTATATATTGGAAAGTAGAATACTTTTGTTACAAAAATATGGACTGTTTTTGATAATATAATGAACATGCATCAGGTACTAGCATCATTATTTCATGCAAACATACTGATATCTTCACAACTTAAACATTTGTGCTAACTTTAAGACAATTTTTGTCTAAAATGGAAGTGGTCGCACTTGTGTTCAGTCTTAATATTTAAATATATGTTGTATTAAACGATAATAAATAACATATATAATTATTGAGAGTGAACACAAATGCGGCAACTTCCATTTTAGACAAAAACCATCTGAAAAGTGTCATTTAACGGCATATTTGATAGAAATTTCATATTTAAGCTTGAATTTGAGCGTTTTTAATGACTAAATCAGTTCGAATCTTTTACAATAACTATTTGAATCGACTGAAGTAGACACTTAAGTGTTTAAAAAATGTCAAAAATCTTTCATCAGATGAACTTCTAATTTTAGGCTGAAATTAGCCCTTACCGGACCTTCTCCTTTGTTTGTGGCACACATTGATAAACCAGTTTCTTGAAAACAGCTTGATAGAATTCATCTAAACCTCCACAGGTTCTTCAACAATACATGAGGATGTACATCTGTTAACTATTTAAGATTTTTATCTGAGAAATTTTGTTTTATTTCCCAAATTAAAACATGAACCATTTTGAGAAGAAATGCATCAAGTCTCACATATTTTCTACTTTAAAGCCAGAATCAATTAGAATAAGTGTCACTTATATAAGAGAGTCTGGATGGGGTTTACATGATAGAGAATACTGGGCAAAAGTGCAGAATAAATGACTAAAAAAAGAGAATAGAGAAAAATAGGCAAAAAACAAACAGATTAGAGATTGTGGGGTGGTGAAATATAAAACATAGAGAATAATGGACAAAACAAATAAAGAATAGAGAATAATGGACAAAACAAATAAAGAATAGAGAATAATGGACAAAACAACTAAAGAATAGAGAATAATGGGCAAAACAACTAAAGAATAGAGAATAATGGACAAAACAAATAAAGAATAGAGAATAATGGGCAAAACAAATAAAGAATAGAGAATAATGGGCAAAACAAATAAAGAATAGAGAATGAGAATAATGGGCAAAACAAATAAAGAATAGAGAATAATGGGCAAAACAAATAAAGAATAGAGAATGAGAATAATGGGCAAAACAAATAAAGAATAGAGAATAATGGACAAAACAAATAAAGAATAGAGAATAATGGGCAAAACAAATAAAGAATAGAGAATAATGGGCAAAACAAATAAAGAATAGAGAATAATGGACAAAACAAATAAAGAATAGAGAATAATGGGCAAAACAAATAAAGAATAGAGAATAATGGGCAAAACAAATAAAGAATAGAGAATAATGGACAAAACAAATAAAGAATAGAGAATAATGGACAAAACAAATAAAGAATAGAGAATAATGGACAAAACAAATAAAGAATAGAGAATAATGGACAAAACAAATAAAGAATAGAGAACAATGGACAAAACAAATAAAGAATAGAGAAATGAAGACCTCCCATCCAGACCCTCATATAATGTCATCTGTATTATCACAATACACCATCATTGAATAGAATACAGCTTCTCATGGTAGCTTTAGTTTTCCTATATCTATTGTAAAAGGGTTATAATCGGTAAAACATACATTGCTGATTTAATTTATTTAAAAATCAAGGAACTATTCAAATGTTTCAAGTATGATTCAGTTCATAAGCCTGTTGATTTAAGGTTATTTGCCAATTTCACAAAGGTCTTTTTCAATTGAGAGATTATAATACATACAAGTAATTGAAAGTCTTGTTTCCTTTTTTAGCTCACCTGGCCCGAAGGGCCAAGTGAGCTTTTCTCATCACTTGGCGTCCGTCGTCCGTCGTCCGGCGTCGTCCGTCGTCGGCGTAAACTTTCTACATTTTGAACTTCTTCTAGAGAACCACTGAATGGAATGAAACCAAACATGGCATGAATGTTCCTTATGAGGTGCTGACCAAGTGTTGTTACTTTGTAGCCAATCCATCATCCAAGATGGCCGCCAGCGGGGGACTTAGTTTAACATAGGACCCTATAGGAAATGCATACAAATGACATCTTTTAGAGAACCACTGAATGGAATGAAACCAAACATGGCATGAATGTTCCTTATGAGGTGCTCACCAAGTGTTGTTACTTTGTAGCCGATCCATCATCCAAGATGGCCGCCAGCGGGGGACTTAGTTTAACATAGGACCCTATGGGAAATGCATACAAATGACTTCTTTTAGAGAACCACTGAATGGAATAAAACCAAACATGGCATGAATGTTCCTTATGAGGTGCTGACCATGTGTTGTTACTTTGTAGCCGATCCATCATCCAAGATGGCCGCCATCAGGGAACTTAGTTTAACATAGGACCCTATGGGAAATACATACAAATGTCTTCTTTTAGAGAACCACTGAATGGAATAAAACCAAACATGGCATGAATGTTTCTTATGAGGTGCTGACCAAGTGTTGTTACTTTGTAGCAGATCCATCATCCAAGATGGCCGCCAGCGGGGGACTTAGTTTAACATAGGACCCTATGGGAAATACATAAAAATGTCTTCTTTTAGAGAACCAGTGAATGGAATGGAACCAAACATGGCATGAATGTTCCTTATGAGATGCTGACCAAGTGTTGTTACTTTGCAGTGGGTCCATCATCCAAGATGGCCGCCAGTGGGGGACTTTAGTTTAACATAGGACCCTATGGGAAATACATACAAATGTCTTCTTTTAGAGAACCAGTGAATGGAATGAAACCAAACATGGCATGAATGTTCCTTATGAGGTTCTGACCAAGTGTTGTTACTTTGTAGCCGATCCATCATCCAAAATGGCCGCCAGCGGGGGACTAGTTTAACATAGGACCCTATGGGAAATACATACAAATGTCTTCTTTTAGAGAACCACTGAATGGAATGAAACCAAACATGGCATGAATGTTCCTTATGAGGTGCTGACCAAGTGTTGTTACTTTGCAGTCGGTCCATCATCCAAGATGGCCGACAGCAGGGGACTTAGTTTAACATAGGACCTATGGGAAATACATACAAATGTCTTCTTTAATAGAACCACTGAATGGCATGAAACCAAACATGGCATGAATCTTCCTTATGAGAGGTTGACCAAGTGTTGTTACTTTGTAGCGGATCCATGATCCAAGATGGCCGCCAGCGGGTGACTTAGTTTTGCATAAGACCCTTTGGGAAATACATAAAAATATCTTCTTTTAGAGAACCAATAAATGGAATGGAACCAAACATGGCATGAATGTTCCTTATGAGATGTTGACCAAGTGTTGTTACTTTGCAGTTGGTCCATCATCCAAGATGGCCGCCAGCAGGGGACTTAGTTGAACATAGGACCCTATGGGAAATACATACAAATGTCTTCTTTTAGAGAACCACTGAATGGAATGAAACAAAACATGGCATGAATGTTCCTTATAAGGTGCTGACCAAGTGTTGTAACTTTGCAGTCGGTCCATCATCCAGGATGGCCGACAGTGGGAGACTTAGTTTAACATTGGACCCTATGGGAAATACATACAAATGTCTTCTCTTAGAGAACCAGTGAATGGAATGAAACCAAACATGGCATGAATGTTCCTTATAAGGTGCTGACCAAGTGTTGTTACTTTGCAGCCGATCCATCATCCAAGATGGCTGCCAGTGGGTGACTTAGTTTAACATAGGACCCTACTGGAAATACATACAAAATGTCTTCTTTTAGAGAACCTCTGAATGGAATGGAACCAAACATGGCATGAATGTTCCTTATGAGGTGTTGTCCAAGTGTTGTTTCTTTGCAGTCGGTCCATCATCCAAGATGGCCGACAGCGGGGGACTTAGTTTAACATAGGACCCTATGGGAAATACATACAATTGTCTTCTTTTAGAGAACCACTGAATGGAATGGAACCAAACATGGCATGAATGTTCCTTATGAGTTGCTGACCAAGTGTTGTTTCTTTGCTGTCGATTCATCATCCAAGATGGCCGCTAGGGGGACTTAGTTTAACATAGGACCCTATGGGAAATACATACAAATGTCTTCTTTTAGAGTACCACTGAATGGAATGAAACCAAACATGGCATGAATGTTCCTTATGAAGTGCTGACCAAGTGTTGCTACTTTGTTGCCGATTTACTGTTCAAGATGGCCACCAGGATATTTTATTAAATAACAGGACCAATATTAATCAAAATATGGCCTCAATCATTATTTGGGTATCTGTTATGATTTTTATCTATCTTTACATGATTTCTAAAACCAAAGTAGAGTCAGGTGAGCGACACAGGCTCTTGAGAGCCTCTAGTTTTAGCTCACCGGGGCCCTTTGGCCCCATTTGAGCTTATGCCATCACTTGGTGTCCGTCGTCGTCCGTCGTCTGTCGTCATCTGTCGTCGTAAACTATTTCAAAAATCTTCTCCTCTGAAACTACTGGGCCAAATACCTTCAGACTTTAAGTAAATGTTCCTTAGGGTATCTAGATTATAAATTGTATCCAAAGTTTTGATCCATCGTCAAACATGGCCGTCATGGCTAAAAATAGAACATAGGAGTCAAATGCAGTTTTTGGCTTATATCTCAAAAACTAAAGCTTTTAGAGCAAATCTGACACAGGGTAAAATTGTTCAATTGGTCAAGATCTATCAGCTCTGAAATTTCCAGACGAATCGAACAACCCATTGTTGGGTTGCTGCCACCGAATTGGTAGTTTTAACAAAATTTTGCAGTTTTTTGTTATTATTTTGAATATTATTATAGATATA